TTAATACCAGTTCTAATGTAAAGTAGAAAGTTATGAGAATAAAATAACAGTTGTCTGTACCACGAAGCATGCCTTTTAGGCTGGGAGTCCTGAAGCTTTTTAAGTATGTATTCGAATATCTTATGGCAATAAGCCCGCCGCCCACCCCCCACCCCACCCCGCGCTATACCATTTTCACTCAGCGGCTGGTCAGCGGTCACGTTTATGAGGTAAACATGGCGATCGCTACCTGATTACCGTTCTTGTCGATCAGAAAATCAAAATACCAGCGTGACATTGCCTCCAAGGTGAAGCAGTTATGTTATTTGATTCGTACTTCACATTCGAGTCGAAGCTTGGGTGGCACAGGTTATTTCTTACGGTGGAATCGACTAGGGGAATTCGAACACTAGTTGTAGTGTTTGAATTGTTGGAAGAATTGGTCGCACGGGGATGTAGGAATGGTAAGTTCAACGAACAGTTTCAAATTTTGCCGCTCGAATTGAAAGTAAAGTTCATTTGAATTGCTTTCGTATGTATTTCTGACGGTTTTAGATCTACCTGCTTGATTTATATCTGCTACGCTCCATATTGACAAGTCCCTCAAAATGGCGGCTAAACTTGGAAATTGCCGAAAATTAGGTAAGTTCACGGAGTTATAAAGTTTTCGTAAAGGTCGGGCCGCAAAGTTTTTTTCTGTAGTTACCTTTTCTATAGCACCTACTTCCTAGCTATGTTAGTTGGATCAGTTAAGAGCGCCTCACTTTTTCAAAAATTTACATTGAATTTGATCGGTTTTGGCATGTGTGACTTAAGCGAACGGATAAGGTGTCATTCAAGTCTTCCTGTTTCCTTGATTGAAACGTGATGTTCACGAAAGTCACCTCGATGAATAAGATAGAGTTAATATACATGGTTTTGGTATTTATTTTTTGCTAAGTTCCGTAGTTTTTTGTAAATTGTCCTTCAAAGTTGTCATAAATTAAAGTCTTGAAAAGTGTCACGACAAGCCTTCGCTCGAGTGAAATTTAATTTCCGTAAAACTCTGAAAGATAAAGAGATCCGATCAAACGGATTGTGGTTTTAGTATAGGTACATGAATGTCTTACAACACACAAGAAATGAGCGAAATCCGTGTCTCAAGCAGAATCGACCGGACCGCTCTTACAGAGACACTCTCTTAATGCCACTGCAATGCGACGTGGAGCATGTTGTACGGGCGGGACAGTCTCGTCCAATCTAATCTCATATTGACCGTCAAGTTGTCCAAGGCCCTCGCCGAAGACATCTGGAAACTTTAACATTAACTCCTCTTTGGTTACTGGTGATGGCTGGTCTTCTATGGCATAAACAGAGGAACCTCCTGTCTCGGGCTTGTTGAGCAGGTCATTGTCCTTGTACTGGATGATGTTCATAGCTAGGCACGACTTGATACCAAGAATCGGACGAATTTCTTCACTGTCCACCAGGCGACAGTCCAGAAGGCATGACCTCTCATTTCTCCAGACGCGGATGCTGACGCGGCCGATTACTTTAATTTTCGAGCCTCCATATGCAACCAATGATGCCTGAGTGCGATTCACTTTTTCAAGCTTCTCATCTTTAGATGCCTTCCGATAAACCTGTAGCGGCAGCACGTTACACTGGGCTCCAGTGTCGGGTTGGAAACGGATGAAGTTACCAGACTCTAGCTTCAGTGTCACTAGTTGTGAATCATCGAGTTTCACGGCTGCTACCTCTATCCGGTACATCTCACCAGCCTCATCATCTTCTAAATCGGTCGCCTTAACTTCCTTCGATTTGCATTTTAATGCGAAGTGGTTCCGCTTTCCACATTTCAGGCATTCCTGTTCTATCGCGGAACAGGATTCCAAACTTTCCTGGTGTTGATAGCCACATTTTCCACACTCTCTGGCACGCCGCCCCTGACCTTGCTGTTGTCTTCTACGAGTTGTTTTCTTGGATTTTCGAAAGTTAGGTAGACGTTCCTGCTCCAGTTTGTTTGCCTCCGGTTCGGTGAGGTCTCCAACAATTTTCATCTGTGTTTGCATGCTTTCGGCGGCGCGACAAATCTCGTCAGTCTTTGCGAGGCTGAGTTTCGACTCTCGCAGCAGTCGTTCTCTCACTTTCGAGTCGCGTATGCCGAAAATTAAGCGATCTCGTCGGGGGTTATCGTGTCTAAGTCCCAGCTCTCTGCAAGCTTACGAAGTGCGGTCTTGTACTGGTCATAGCTTTCTCCCGCTTCTTGTGTTCGACGATTAAATCGATAGCGCTCGAATGGTACATTCTTTCGTGGCTGGCAATACTCGGCAAACTTCTGTAGCACCGGGGCAATCTTGTTTTCGTCCCCTTCATTGGCCCAGTCCGTAAATGTGGAATACACATCACGAGCCTCTTCTCATATGACCGTCAAGAGAGTAGCAACTCGGACGCCTTCCGACTTCTTGTCAAGCTCAGTAGCCAAAGCATAGCTATTCCACGCTAAATTAAACTTCTTCCATTTCTCCGCGGCGTTCTGATCATGAATAGGGACCTTACGATCCGACAACGGCGACGGCGACGGCGACGGCAACGTGAGAAGTCTGGGTCGAGCGGGGCCACGTCGTGTTGGCGTTCCCGCCAAAATTGAGATTACGAATTTTACGAGCGAGAACGTTGACGACGGTCATTGATGGTTATCGTGTTTAAGTCAACGAAAGTTTTTTAGAAAGCCATGCCAAAGTTCCGTGACACTATTCTCCTGGCTCATGCTTCCCGTTTGATTACTGCTGAAGAATTCGTGCTTCTCTACGATTTACACAAGCCTTAAAATCCGGATTTACCGTACACTAACTACGAGTGTTTCGATCTCGACAAGATGACCGATGATGAATGTAACTAGTACCGCTGCCGACAAAATCTCTCTACTATTTCCTAGTAAACCCAAAATAAAATTAAGCTTAATTGTTCTCTTTTTTTGATCGAGAAAAAAGTTGGAAAGTAAGTGATAAGAAAGCTCAGTGATAGCGAGTGAAGTACAATCACAAATAAATACAAAGCAAAATAAGTCAAATCTCTCTCCATTCAGTTTGTGGTCGTATACAAAAGACTCCACGCTCTGTTCGTTTCGGATATTTCAAACAAACTAGTATTCTTTAAATTTAGTAGCAAAGTCTCGTTTTTACCTTGATTCATTTGCCATAGTTGGGTTTTAATTTCCACGTTTTCGCACAACGTCAAACAAGGCTTCTAGACGTCCGCGCGTGAAGGGACACCGCCGTCTCAGAAATCTACTCATGCGCAGTACGTAACCGGAAGTAAAAAAGTCCCACGTCGCCGTCGCCGTTGTCGGATTGTAAGGTCCCTAATATCCAGCGGCGTTGGCGGCGGTAAGCTATGTCCCGATGCCATGTTCTAGTAAGCTACAATGCAGCGTGGATCCTGTCGCCGCTGCCACCATGTAAGAAACAGCACTTGGGTATTAAACGGAGATTTATTGTAAACAACTATATGCAGTCTAGCGACGTTCTACAACGTTTTAGGAACTCGAGCACACGGTTGTGCAATCACGCGTAAATGCATTTCATTGGCTGAATCAACAATATAACAGAGACTCTTGTGGTTAGATATCACATAGCAAGTCACGCAACTTGTCACAATCCAGCAGAGGGTTCAGCCTTTACGAAACACTATTACCGTTTCAGACGAAGGGCGAACGCTCGAAACGTCAGCTTCAAAAATTCTTGATGATGGCTAATTTAAATTATCAACTCAGTTGTTAAAACAAAATTAGCTATAATTGTTGCTCTTTAAGGAAGTAACCATGGTCATGTTTGCTTGAACAGGAACAAAAGACAAAATACCTTTCTTATGAAAGAGATTCCATGGCTATGTCCATACTAACAAATCTTATACTTTTATAACATGAACTTCGATCTTGTCGACCGTGATTACACGTGAAACCCCAGTGATTGTTAAAAACCAGTGGGCTTTTCGGCCTTCTTATCACTCTCCAAATGCTCCCAAAATAGGTTGCGTGCGAAATTTTTCTTGTGTTTATTAGTTTGATTAGCATGAGAATAACAAAGGAAATCGTTTTCATGTCAAAGGCGTAATGTGCACTTACCCTTGTTTTCAAACAAAGGTCAGTTTATGCTCTACTCTAAAAGGAAGCGTATTACAATTCGCCGTACTTTAGCAAGGATCGATCACGTTTTAACTGCCCTGTGGAATCCTAAAATTCTTAGCTGTGAAACTCCTCTATTTCCTTCAACAGTAAGGTTAGTTACAATAAGAATTTCCAAGGGAGACTTTCTTAATCCTTCTGTTTATTAATATTATTATCATTTTATCTAATGGCGCTCTAATTTGATTGACTCCTAATCGGACATACGCGGCAATATATAAATATAACAAGTGATTATTGTCAAAGATGAGTCTTTTGAGTTAGCTTAGAAAAATTTAAATTGCATGTTAAACCGAACGATTATATACAATTCAAAATAGCTGTTCACGTTGTGAATCATTGTACAACATCGTTGTGCCACGTAAAGAGAGGGAGTTTGAAAGCTGTACCTTTGTCAACTGTTTTGGAAGGTTTAAGGTTTGGTATTTCAATTCATCCGTGATACAGAGGGTCCTGATCATGCTTAAACCAAGTTTGTGAAAATACTTGTAAAACGAAAGAGGAAATTGAATGATTTAACGTATATAGTGTGCCTTCCTGTAATCTTCAGCAAATCTATATTATAGTACTTTACATAGCTTTATTTTCAATTCATGTCACCTTTGTTAGCGCCGCTAGGATAGGATCATGAAATCTGACATTCAAGCGCATAACTTAAACTTTTCTATAAAAACTTCTGCTTTTCTCTTCACTGGACCTTGTCCTCTTTATTCTCTAGGCTTCGATTTTTCGTTGGTCGTTCCTACTCAAAACCTTAAGTTAATATACGAATTGTCAAAGGAATATGTTCCTATCTCAAGAAAAATATATCATGAGGAGGCTTAACTTTCTAATTCCGTTCAAAATATGAAAGATAGTGATCTAATGCCTGACGTCGGCGCTTGCACTCAAGATACAATTCTCTCGTAGAAATTGACTAGTGGAAGTCCTACATTTTTAAAAACTTGTAACGGGTACCAATGTAACCTTGCTTTAGGTTTTTTTTTTTTGAGTGGTTTCTTGTGCATATTGCAAAATACTAAATATTATTTATAATACGTGACGACGTTGAAGGGGTCGAGTTGGTAAACATGGACATTTCCTAATTACTTCTCAGTTGATTGACGATGACGTAGTTTTACATGAGGAACTTTGGCCCCGAAAAAAAATCGCAGCATGCATTCTACGGAGGCGCTATATTTCTGTCATCAGTGTAGAGAATTACATCAACGTTTGCGGTCGGTAGATGTCTATGCGGTTACTTAAACCTGTTGATTATAAGTTAAAGGTTCCCCTGATAATTATTACTGCATCTATGCTCGAATTTCAATTACGAAAACACAAGAAATCTGGCATTGAAATCACTTGGTGCGACCTTATAATGGAGGCCGAAGTCTTCGATCGATCGGCTGAGCTTTTTATAGTTATGGGGTCCAATGTCGACCCCAAAAAGTACTGGTACGTGCTAAAGGGCGAAAAGCTTTTGCAAAGAACGAATTGTTCCGTCGATTCCGCGATGACTACAATACGTTCTCTCCCGCCAGCAGATCTCAAGCGCGCTAACAAAGGGTGTTCGTTCAACGTCAGGTAACCAAACAACATGCATATTATATCTTCAATTGGTCTCTGTGCCGGACTAATTGGACAGGGAGAAATCCAGCAGATGGATTCGCGAGGTCTCAAAACATAATCTTGTTGTTGATGCGGTAAATCAAATCGCCCTCGACCGTACACTTTAGGCGGGAAATGCCTCCAGTCAAAATATCATGGGAAATTGCAATGATGTCAGTCGAGAATAGCCGAGCTTGACAAAGACATTCGGGAACAAGTAAAGGATAATAATTATATAAGTTAATGGTGGATGCCTCAACTTTCAGTCAAAAGAAAGAGTCCAGACCAAGAGCGTGAATTCAATTTTTCGTGCGGCCCTCTTGGGTAGTGTATACCCGAGGATTACCTATAATCTCTTGCATACCCTCTTGGGTTGTGTATACCTGAGGATTAATTTTTAATATCTTCTATACCCTCTTGGGTAGTGTATACCTGAGGGTTATTTTAATCTCTTGCATACCCTCTTGGATAGTGTATACCTGAGGGTTATTTTTAATCTCTTCTATACCCTCTTGGGTAGTGTATACCTGAGGTTTATTTTTAATCTCTTCTATACCCTCTTGGGTATCATATATCTGAGGGTTATTTTTAATCTCTTCTATACCCTCTTGGGTATCATATACCTGAGGGTTATTTTTAATCTCTTGCATGCCCTCTTGGGTAGTGTTTACCTGAGGTTTATTTTTAATCTCTTCTATACCCTCTTGGTTAGTGTATACCTGAGGGTTACTCTTAATCTGTCCTATACCCCCTTGGGTAGTGTATACCTGAGGGTTATTTTTAATCTCTTCTATACCCTCTTGCGTAGTGTATACCTGAGGATTAATTTTTAATATCTTCTATACCCTCTTGGGTAGTGTATACCAGAGGGTTATTTTAATCTCTTGCATACCCTCTTGGGTAGTGTATACCTGAGGTTTATTTTTAATCTCTTCTATACCCTCTTAGGTAGTGTATACCTGAGGGTTACTCTTAATCTGTCCTATACCCTCTTGGGTAATGTATACCTGAGGGTTATTTTTAATCTCTTGCATACCCTCTTGGGTAGTGTATACCTGAGGGTTATTCTTAATCTGTCCTATACCCTCTTGGGTAGTGTATACCTGAGGGTTATTTTTAATCTCTTCTATACCCTCTTAGGTAGTGTATACCTGAGGGTTATTTTTAATCTCTTGCATACCCTCTTGGATAGTGTATACCTGAAGTTTATTTTTAATCTCTTCTATACCCTCTTGGTTAGTGTATACCTGAGGGTTACTCTTAATCTGTCCTACACCATCTTGGGTAGTGTATACCTGAGGGTTATTTTTAATCTCTTGCATACCCTCTTGGGTAGAGTATACCTAAGGGTTATTCTTAATCTGTTCTATACCCTCTTGGGTTGTGTATACCTGAGGGTTATTTTTAACCTTTTCTTATCCCTCTTAACTCGGCAGTCGCATAAGACGATATTCATACGTGTGAATTTGTTCCCGATGACCTAAAATGCAATAACGATGTTTTAGACCAGCTTCTTCCCTGTCATAGTCGATTTTGAAAAGACTGATGTCTTCGGAAAAGCTAAAAATGCCGTTCCAAACTGAAACCTTCGCACAAAAAAAGGTCATTATAAGAATAATTGCATTGCGCCGAAGCTTGTAGACCGAACGGGGAGACCATCTGTTGAAAGCGATTTGTATTCTCTGGACTATCTAATCAACACAGTTTCTGGACTTTAAAAGTTAAAAACCATGACCTGTATAAAGAAGGGTTTGTCGGAGTTAACCTTACGTAGGCCTAGGTCTTCGATCATGGAGGTGAAATCAGCTTTACCGATGCCGCTTTTTAGGCTATTTTTGAGTTTCTTCGTTTTACGTGTTTTAAATTGTTCCTGTTATATGTTTCTGTAACATTTGGTTAGGAATATTCGTGGACCTTGTGTTAACGATTTACTGTTGTCTCCTTTAAGACATGTATTGTTTCTACAGAGAAAATAAGCTTAGCGTACCGCCCTTTAAGTTTTTTCGAATTAGACCCGTTAAGTTTGTATGAGACATTTCTCTGGACTCTTGTTTCTGGAAAATGAGTGAACAAAGTAGAGTTGTATCTTGAAAATGAGTAGAAATGTAATCATCGGAAGTTGCGGTTTTTCCATTCCATTCGAGTGGAGCATAATTACATTTTTTTTGAAGTGATTATCGGATGTCCTAGAATGTTTAGCGAACACCTCATGCCACCAAGAGGCGTCGAACATTAGCTTGAATTACTTATGCAAATTTGCATAAATTTTTTTTCCGACGCAAAGCTCGTCATGCAAGAGGTACTTGCAAAAATTTGATCACTTTTGTATCATGAGATCCATCACACGAAAGGAAAAACCTCATTGTTAAAGTTATCTCACAAGTAATAGAAGTTAATCATCCAATTGAAAAGAGCAGTTGGAAGAAGGATTATTTTATGAGCCGATGACAAAAACAACCGAAGCATAAGGAGAACGCCACCCACACGCACGTAGCCAAGTTCATCTTCCCTCGGGAACGGAAAAAAGATGTTGGCTCGGAAAGTTCTGCCGGCTTTACGGTAGGCCCTTAAAATACCCGATGGTTTTCATTTGCGAGGTCGAAAGACGGTTTATAAATAAGTACTACTTATAAATACTTTACAAACATTGGTCCCAACCTAGCTAAATCTATACCCAAGGTGAATCCTTCTTTTCGTTCTTATCTTGGTGATAATGTCCGTTCCTCCATAAACTTAAAGCCCACCACAACAAGTGAACTGGAAAGCATTTGTGACATGTTCGCTTCAAAGAAGGCTCCTGGCTATGACAGTATCCCAATGCATGTCATTAAATATTCATTTCACCTTATTTCTGCTCCATTGGCAGATATTATCAATCTATCTCTGCTAAAAGGCATTTTCCCGGACAAACTTAAAATCGCTAAAATTATTCCCATCTTCAAAGCAGAGGATCCTAACTTTTTTGTAAACTACAGACCTATTTCTTTGTTGTCTAATTTTTCCAAATTTTTCGAAAAAGTCATGTACAATGGCTTGGTAGAATTTGCCGAAAAACACGATATACTTTACTGCTGTCAGTTTGGATTTCGGAAAAATCACTCGACATCGCACGCACTAATTCATTTGGTAAATAACATAGCTTCTGCAATCGACCAACACGAAACAACGGTGGGTGTTTTCCTAGATCTTTCCAAAGCATTTGATACTCTCGACCATCATATCTTGTTTGCGAAATTGGAGCACTATGGTATCCGTGACGTGGCTCTGCAGTGGTTCAAAAGCTACTTTTCTTGCCGCCAGCAATTTGCCCAATTCAATCAAGCTTGCTCTCCTATGCAAACCATCAAGTGTGGTGTCCCTCAAGGTTCGATTTTAGGCCCTCTAATGTTCATTCTATACATAAATGACCTCCCTAATGCCTCTGAATTAACAGACCCTCTGCTTTTCGCTGATGACACCAGCATCTTTTATTCTCACTCAAACCCAAATTGTTTAGAATCCGTACCTAATGATGAACTCCAAAATATTGATGTCTGGCTAAAATGCAATAAGCTCTCAGTTAATATAAGGAAAACTAACTACGTAATTTTTAAACCCAGACAGAAGAAATTTAACTCCAGCATTTCTCTCTCCTTTGGAGGTAACCCCCTACAACAATCTAACGTAACTAAATTCCTTGGGGTCTATATTGATGATCATCTCACTTGGAAACACCATATCAGCTATGTATGTAAACAAATCGCTAAATCAATAGGTATTATATTCAGGTCTCGCTTTTTCTTATCCTCTACAACCAAGCTCACTTTGTACTACACGTTAATTTATCCTTATATCGTCTATTGTAACTGTGCCTGGTCGTCCACATACGTATCTAACTTAAATAGAATTACTACTTGCAAAAGCGAGCTGTGCGGGCTATCACCAACTCAGACTATCGAGCCCATTCCGCTCCTTTATTCTCCAAACTAGGAGTTTTAGATATTTTCCAAGTTCGCCAAATTCATGTTTTATTATAGAAATAACTTATTGCCTCCATTGCTTCTCAATCTTTTTGTAACGAATAGCCAAATTCACAACTATGGTACCAGAACAGCCAGTAATTATCGAACGCATTTGTGCCGTACAAATCTCAAGCAATTTACAATTCTTTACCAAGGTCCTAAAATTTGGAACTCTCTTCCTGTTTCAGTCACTCGTTCGTCAAACCTTAGTTTTAAGACGAAAATGCAAGAGTTTTTACTCAAATAATCCTTGAATTGGCCTAGCCGCACATTAGCAGCACTTTTTCTTTACTTTATTTATTAATGTAAGTGAGGTGGCTCTCCCATAAGCCCGGTGGCTTCCTGGGTCTCCTCGCCTTCTAGCTATAACCGCTGTAAATAAAATTTTTTTTTGTATTATGTAAATAAGGCAAATAAAAATGTGATGATGATGATGATGATTGAGTGTCGTAAAACTTAAAACGACCAATCAGAAGGAAGGAAAACAGACGCCTTAAGAATCAATTAGAACTCAAAGTACAACCGAGCAAACTGCTAAAAGCGCGGGAAAACGTGGGCGACCAAGTGATGATTGGTTTTAACAAGCGTCGATCTGATTGGTTGAGAGTGGCGCAAGTTTTTTTAGACAAATTACAGTGCGAATAAAAACAAAACCAATGCAGTTTGATTATTTTCGACACACGAAAATTGCACTAAAGCTGTCTTTTTCTCTATTATTATACAGGTCCTCACCTTTTAAGAGTACTAATCAAGATGGAATTTACGGAGCATGAAGAGAACGTTTCACAGTTTTACTCTCGCGTTGCGGATAACAGTCATGATTGGAATGAGGGATTTCTGACATTTGGATTATGGAAGACGAAGTCTGGTGAACCCATACCACGGCCGAAATGCTACAGAGCAATATATGATGAACTTTCGGAGGGCAGCGGGATACAGCCGCACCATGACGTGCTAGATGTTGCTTGTGGGCAGGGAGCAGGCATGCTGCGGGTCAAGTCCCAGTACGGCTGCAATACGCAAGGTCTGGATATCAGTGTTGCAAATGTGGAAATAGCAACGCGTAGACTGCGTGACACCGGAGTCACTGTCACGCGAGGGAGCGGAACGAAGATGCCTTATGGCGAAAATTCCTTTGACTACGTCCTTTGCGTAGAAGGAGGGCCCAATATGAATAGCAGAGAAGATTTTTTACGAGAGGCCTTCCGAGTTCTTAAGCCTGGAGGAAAATTATTGATGGCTGATATCGTTGTTCTGAAGGCAATTCAAGATTTACGATACCTACAGCAGCTCGTTCTAAAGGCAGCTGCAAAGGCTTGGATTATTCCAAGCATTAACATGTGCTATGGAATCGATGAGTACAAACAAAAGGTGAAGGACGTTGGCTTCAAAATGAGAAGATTTGAATTAATAGGCGACAGAGTGATACCAGGTTATTGTAATTTCAATCTTTCATTGTCAGTTATGCGAGAGCAGGCGAAAATCAGGGGTCCGTTTGTCGGTTACATGGGAGGTCCGATAATTGATATTCTCCTTCAAAAGGCCTTTTCTCATGGATTGATCGAATATATTCTTGTAGTCGCTGAGAAAGAAATTAACGAGTAAAAGTTTGAAGACCACGGATTTAGAACTCTTTATTTGTTTTTGCGCACAGAACTCTACATGTAATAGCCCACGGCGAGCGGAAATCGAACAATTATTTATATTCGGGTGTGGCTCCGCTCCAAAGGACCGGTAATCATTTATTATCTATGGAGAGAGGGGGAGGTCAGAGGATTTTTGTGGTGTCGCGATAAATATCACGTAATCCAACCATGAGGTTGAATTACGAGCTCATGATCACCCCACTCCCCCTGAAAACCATGTGACCCCCCCCCGAAAATGCTTTGACATCTCTCAAGCGAAGATGGCTGATTCGTCCCTAAATGCAATTGGAGAATGGTACCCCTCCCACAAACATACTCGGGAACACTGCATTCCTTTCACTGATAAGAGTCACTGAATGACATCAAGGGCCCTTTTCTAGATCTCCTTGATTCCTCATGGCCAAATTTCCTTTTTCTTTACTCTGGATTGGACAACTTGGAGCAACACAGGGTCATTTGAGACAACAACGGGGTACTGTGACTAACACTAACTTTAGTAACAAAGTGCACTAAACCTGAATACTTCGGCACTGTCATGGGGGAAATTTAAAAAGACAGAACGTACAATCGCGGATCGGCGACAGAATTTTCGACACATTGACCTTCTCAACCCCTTTTATTTCAATTTTATCTCTTTTGCCTTTGTTAATTTAATTTATTCGCCTCCTCCCCCCCCCCTAAAAAAATGTTGCATCGTGATTCTACGAACTGTTAGCTACACTAATTCAACATTGATGGGGGTGGAGGGGGATTTTTATTAATGATTTAGGGTGTAGGAAAAACAGGAGGGTCATTCTACACATAAATATATATGACAAGGCTAGGTTACTTAAAACTATGATCGTATGCTCAGAAACAAACTGGGATATTTGACTTAAATGGTCAAACTCCTGCACATGAGCAAACGTTGTTATGGCTTGGAGGCCTGCTTTCAGGCTGTCAGAGCCAAATTGTCTCGGCAAGCCAGTACGTCACGGTGTTTTGAAAACGTTTTATTTTTCTTTCTTTATAGAACTCAAAACAAAATGGCAAATCTACAGGATACCCGTTATATTGAAGATGCTTTACGTTCGAAAATTCTTCAGTTTTAATTTTCACAACTTTTGATTTCTTTCATAGATTTCATGAAGTTTCATTTTTTCTCTTTTTTCGCAGTGCCGGGTTTAAACGTTTATGCATGTGCAAACGTTGTAATAACTAGGTAGGGTGCTTTCAGGCTGTCAGGCCCAGGTTTTTTCTTACAAGTTACGAGAAACCGCGCAACCTGGTAAATCACGGTGTTTTAAAAGCTTCCCCATATTATTTTGATCGTTTAAATTTAGTATTCATGGTTATTACACTAGCTGTAGGCACCAAATTCACTTACCGACCCTTTACTTAAGATTGGCTATTCATGCATACGGTCCTTTTCAATAAATTAACTACTCGTATTTACTCTTCGTGTATATTCGTACCACATAGGTGAATAATGCTTTTCGTGCGCTCTGATTGGCTAGTTCGGAAGTGAATAGCAAGTACTATTCTCCTCCTAGCAGCCGATGAGACAAAATGGCGCGTCAAGAGTTTAATTTCCGACCATTTTTCGGTATATTGAAAGAAATTAATTAATTTTTTTACTTTTCTGTGTGGTATATACAACTTTTCACTTAAGTGTCGTTGAAGGTGGTGGATATTTACCTCAACTTCGGTGTATAGTTGTTAATTACTTTCTTTGTACCTACGCGTTATAAAATACGCAGGTCCCTATTGATACCAGTCGAAAGGGCCACCTTAACTTGAGCGTACATCTTTTTGAGTAAAGCTCAAAACAGAATGGTAAATCTACCTGAATATGCTTGTGTTCGAAAAGTCTTGAGTTTTCCTTTTTTGTTTCCTTTAACAGATTTCCACGAACGTCTCAATTTTCTTGCGCATAATCTATTCTAAGACAGCGGCTTTTTCCTATGCTTTCCTCAGACATTTTGCGGGGGAAATTGGCGCACAAGCGTCACAGATTAATCTCCTCGCGCATCCCCTGCGCTTGACCGCCGTGTTGTACACAGCTGGCCTAAACTGTGATCCACCGACGCATGCTTGACGCTTGACTACCGCGTTACTTGCTAGCACCACTTGATTCATTGCAGTAAAAAGTTCACGAAACTAGGGACGAAGGAATTTACTTAGGGGGTGACGGTAAAGCAATTACAGGAGATTGGAGCTAAGGTAAACCGATGCGAGAAGTTCGTAAATTCCAAATTCATTTTCTATAAGTCTATGGAGTGTCCGCGTTTTATTGTGGGAATTTTTAGCGCTCACATGAACAACAAGCCTAAAGTTACGTCAGAGGTAAATATATGTGGCGAGGTCATCTTTGTTTTGCATTCTTTTGTCTTTTGATATTAATTAGAATCGCTAGTATTCGTTCGATATCCAGCAGGATTTTATCAAGGAAGTTATGTAATGTTTTTCGGCACTTGTTTGTCACTCACAGTTTCGCGAAATTTCACTCAATTTATTCATAATAGAAGTGGCTTTTCCTGTTTAAGTCAATCTTAAATCGAATGCTCCTGGGTTGCAAAGAACTGCGTTTTACTGGCTTTTCGATATCATCAGTGTGTTCATGTATCAGCGCGGCATACATACTTTGGAGTCACACGCATATATGGTTCGATACGGTAGCAACGTACAGTGATTGGTTGCCACAAAGAATATGTTTATCATAACAGATAATAGATTCCAATATAACTCTTAGGCAAAAAGGAAGCACAAGGCTTCATGCTGAATTTCGAGACTACCTCGCCTCTTCACCTCCCTTCCTACTTGATACTGAAGACATGGATATCAAAACACTGCTAGATAATCTTCGAGAAGAAGTGTCTTGTTCAGTGTGTACTAACATCTACACGGAACCAAAACACCTTCCATGTCTTCACAGTTTCTGTCTGCTATGCTTGAAACAGTGGCACAGGTCAAGCCATGGCCATGAGACGATAAGATGTCCGAAATGTCAAGTCGTTAGCAGAGTGCCTGAAAGTGGTGATCTGAGAGATCTTCCGACCAGTTTTTATCTAAACGGTTTGATCGATGTGCTGGCCATAAAAGAGTGCGAAAGTAGCCAGGTGCGATGTGAAAATTGCGAAAAGAGGAGCTGTGAAAGTTCTTACTGTTTCCAATGTTGCGTATTTTGGTGTGAAGAATGTGTCATTGGACATAACATTATGAAGAGCAACAAAGATCATCGTGTTATGGCGCTAAAAGAATTTCAGTACAAAGACTTCGAGGATGTGTTGAAACGCCCGTTGTACTGCTCGAAGCCGCGACATGAGAAAGAAGAACTGAAATACTTTTGCAATAAATGCGAATCGCCTGTTTGTCAAACCTGCGCCACGATGAGTCATAGTGGCCACACTCTAGAGCACATCGAGGAAAAAGCTGAAAGACAAAAGATTGAAACTAAATCATTTCTTGACGTCCAAAGACGCAACCTGCAAAAAAAGATGAACTCTCTCGGTCAACTTGATGAATACTACGCTCAGCTGGTAAGACAACGCGATGATATGAAGGAAAGTGTTCAAGGACTTGTGAACAAGTTGATTGCAACCATTGAAGCGAAGAAGCAAAACATTTTTGCAGCTTTAGAGAATGAAACGAAGAATGTACTGGAAAATCTTACAACGCAAAAGACAGAGGTAGAGCGTCAAATTAAAATACTCGAATCATCGCTGGAAAAAGCTGATAAACTATTAATACGAAGTTCAAACGCCGAGATCGTTCAACTGAAGAAACCAATAGAGACAATATTTCAAGCAGTTATTCAAAGTCAGCCAGTGGACCTTGACCCGGAAAAAGTTCCTGCCATAGCTTTTGAAGAGAATCCAAAGTTTTTGTCCACAGTAAACACCGAAGAAATTGGAACTTTGTCAATGAAACTCCAAACAAAAGCATTTCATTCTGTCGCTGAAGGAAAAGGACTTGGAGAAGCAATTGTTAACCGTGAAGCGCATTTTACATTGACTACCAGAAACGTTGAAGGCGGACAGTGCTACAATGAAAATGACCATGTAACGGTGGAGATCTTGGACGAACAAGAACGACAGTGCGCTACAGAAGTACGAATGAATGACAATAAGAATGGACTCTATCAGATCAGTTTTTCATCCAATTTCCAAGGCATATGCAAAGTAATAGTAAAGGTAAATGGGGAACATGTGTGTGGCAGTCCATTTGCTGTGCAGGTAAAACCATTTCAATTAAAAGCTGTTTTATCTTTTGGCAACAAAGGTTCATCTAAAGGAACGTTTAAGTTTCCCTGGGGGGTAGCAGTTAATGCCCGCAACGAGATGGCCGTAACTGATTGTGAAAATAATAGAGTTCAACTCTATAACAGCGATGGCTATCATTTAAGATCTTTTGGAAAGAAAGGCAACAAAGCAGGAGAATTTTATAGCCCAATGGGAATAGCTTTTGATAATAACGGTAACCTTTTGGTATCAGACAACAACAACTACAGAGTTCAGATTTTTAATAGGGAGGGTGAGTTCATGGCAAGTATCCCAGGGAAAGGAAGCTCTGTCGATCGTCAGTTCCTTATTCCGTGGGGTTTATCCGTAGACGGTGAGGGGAACATCCTTGTCGCTGACGCGGGTAACAAACTAATCATAATCTTTTCGCCAGCTGGGAAGTTTCTAATGAAAATAGGTGGGCAGGGCTCATTTAGTCATCCTGTCCATTGCGTTCAAAGTGGCAGATTTTTCTTTGTATCAGACAGTGGTGAACATTGCATCAAAGTTTTTGACAGGAATGGAAACTTTCAGTACAAGTTTGGAAAGAAGGGTACTGGAGACGGGGAGTTTAATGGTCCAGGATGTATGACAGTGAACAGATCAGGACACATAATAGTTTGTGATACAAATAATAATAGACTACAATTATTTGAACCGGATGGAACTTTTGTGGGCAAATTTGGAACAAAAGGTAACGGTTTAGGAGAAATCCGGTCTCCAAATGCAATAGCTATTCTTAGTACTGGGCGAATTGTTGTTGTTGATCAAAGTAACCACCGCTTACAAATGTTTGAGTAACCTGGTAGAGACATTTTGCTTTGTTTTTGCTTGACTGCGGTCTGTGATTGGTCCAGAAAACTCGCGCCATCATCTCAACCAATCAGATGCAAAACTTAAACCAATCCAGCTTGGTCAACGCGTTTTCCCGCCATCATCTCAACCAATCAAATGCAAAACTTAAACCAATCCCAACTTGGTCAACGCGTTTTCCCGCGCTTCAAGCAAGTTGCTAGTTTTTATTTTGTGTTCTCATTGGTTGATAATGATGTCACCTTTGTTCTGATGCGCAGTTGTGATTACTTTGGTTTAGTTTTTCTACACTAAATTATTAACTTCTCGAATTCGCTTCAGCTAAAAATTATTTTGCCTTTTTGGGCAAAGATTATTTTCATTAAGTTTATGTTTGCCTATGATTCAATTTGGGGTAATACTTTACCTTGGTATGTGATTTTTTTGTCAAAAATATTCTGAACTAAAAGGAAACAATTGTATGGTTACTGCAAGTGCTGTTTAGAAAAATTTTTTTATTCATTAATCAGTCATGGGAATGATGGTTTTTACTTGAAACGCGATGAAAAGCACTTAATTTTTAACTTTTGTTCGTGAGATTATGGAAAAGAACATCTATTTAGCTCTAAAAGTTTCGGTATCACTTTAGCATAAGTTTTAGGGGGAAGTCTGTTGAGTCGAAGTAATTAATTGAATAGGAATAAATTAATCACATAGTTCACACAATTAGATTACCTGAAAACAATTGATGAAGCCGCCCAAGACACGTGATTGACACTTTGCTGTTTTCCTTCGCAACCGTTCTCTGAAATGTCACGCAACACTCCTCCTGAAAAAGGAATAAGCCTTGCGTGACATTCCACGAAACAGCTGCAAAAGATTCGCCAGCTGCTTATTTGTCTTTGCATCCGAATGGCTTACAATAACTGGCTTAAGACTTTTCAGGCAGTCTAAAAACACTGTGAGGAAATATCTGCAACACGCAGTTGAAAAATCGCTTCAGATCTGAACGTAAAATAAGTTTGTCTGTAATAAGACAATAATATTATTTATGGAGAAATAATTTCTAGGAAACGAATTGATTGAATTTGTATGATCTGAATAAAGAAAATCTGTTACTAAACTTGCCTGATTCTTGAAGTATTCAAGTATTATCATAATGTTCATTATTATTGTTATCATTATTATTATTATTATTATTATTATTATTATTATCATCATCATCATCATTATCATTAACATTATTGTTATCAATTCTAATTTTTACCATTATTTTTTTATTGTCATCATCATTTATTGTTATTATTACGATTATATTTCAATTTTATCATTCATTTAACTTAAAAGCGTTTTCTGGTTGGTGTATTCATCGAAAAGAAAGTCATTGCTTTCTAGAGATTTCCTGCGCAAGGATGGACAAAAATATGTCAAACGGTGTTGTATAGAACATTGTGCAAAGCTGAACAACCCCAGTATTGTTTTGAGATAAGCTTGTCATTAGTGCTCACTTCGTGTAATACTCGCAGCGTGACGATTAGAATTTAAAACGCGCGTCGGAAAAACAGTGCCCTGACTAAGTGTAAACAAGCCTTCAGAGGAGATGTCGACCGTTTTCAATCTAGCTTAGGGTTCTAAGAGTTGTTGCGTCGTAACTCGTTCACTTAATCGCTGAAGCTAACGGAAAACGTGTGTGTTTTGTCGTGAGACTAAGGTGACGTCCCTTAAAATCCAGATTCTTTGTCCACAAATCCTGATTTTCCAGTTTTTTGAGCGCCCATATGTATTGTGGGAACTTTTGGCGCCTTGAAGCAACATGGCTGAAGTTGCTACTGATGCACATTTACTTCTTGGCAAAGAAGTGGCGAGGTAAACCATGTTTTGCAATTTTTTTTCCACCAGATATTGGAATTAAAATTATCCCCTTACTATTTGTAAAGAAAAATTCATCAAATACGCTTTGTATTTTGACATTTGTGTGATTCTCGAGGTTTACGTGATCGTTTGGTCACCTTGCACGTGCCTATAGTGTGAGTTTGTTTTACAGTTGTAAAGCACTGTCTGATGTCAATCTCAATTGAACACTTACCCAGACGGCCATGGGCTAGAACTGATTTTAATAACAGCATGAAACATTCGTTGGAAAACAATAATGTTTTGGTTGTGGAAATTAATTAATCTCGTTAATTAGAGCGCTGCGTGGTGATCACGCCTCACCCATAGGGATCCAATTTTAAACCTCACTACATGGTGGTCATTTAGTGATCACTTGTATTTGATAGACCCTTGCTGCGTTTCCTTCGAATGTAAGCCAAATTTTCCTCTTTCTCAAACTATTTTTGCCTCATCCTCCAATATAAATTTATATTTACTTAATCCAATTTTTGTTTATTTTTTTGGGGGGGAGGGGGGTTGTGACCTTTATATCCTGTTCACTTCTCTTTCCTTTTTCAAAAGCATCTTGGAAAGTTAGTGATGTAATATGTATTTAAATTAAATCAATCCAGTACCTTTAGGAACTGCTAAAGTTAGTGATGATTTTAGCCTTTTAATAGAAATTCCTAACTATTTAACACCCATGAGTGAACAAGACAGAATTTCTCTTTACAATATCAATACAAAATCAAACAGACAGTCAATATTAGAGGATTGTTAGTTTATCCAATACCAAATTCTCCAAGCTAACATCAGAAGAATTGTATTGGAGACAGTAAAGAGAATTCCTGATGAGATCTTGTTAGTGAAAGGGTTAATTGATCAGACATTTTTACCAAATGCTACCCAATGTGGTTAAATTTTAATTTTCAAGATTCTGAACAATGACTATTCAAGGCTTTATAATGCATGCCCAATATAGCATGTACAAGGGTGAGACTGTGGTGAGGTCATAAACACGATGTGCAAATTTAGTTAAGGCTGTCACAGCTTCATTTTCACAACATTGGGTCTCACAGTAGGAGTTGAGATCACTTGTGCACAGGAAGTGGCCAGTAATATTAGAAAATCAGGTCATTTCAGTTGTGTTTGGCACAGATTGTAAACCTGCCCACTGTTTGTTATTTTTGCAGTGAGATTCGTCAAAAGTTGAAAGAAGATGTTGCAGCCATCAAGGAAGAAAACGTAGGGTTTAAGCCAGGCCTTGCCATTGTTCAGGTATGGTGTCTCATTATCATTACAGAGCTGCTTATAAAAAAGCAGTGCTGACCAAAACCGCTAGCTGGTATCTTTGTATTATAGGCTATATATTTCTTGCAATTTTAGTTCTGAGAACTTGATGTTACATGTAAGGAAATCTTCTCTCTCTCTTCTCAGTACTCCTATGCTTGACAATTTATTGAAATGTGGGAGAAATTCCTTTCTGATCACTACTGGGAGTAAGTGGCTAAGTTGTTCTTTGTATGAAGTACTGTTTATAGCTTTGCTTTTCCTTCAGATTGGCGATCGAAGTGACTCAACAGTTTATATCAAGTCTAAAGTCAAAGCTGCAGAAGAGGTAAATGTAAATATTGAAAGTGAAACTGGATGGTGAAATTTTGCAAGCATTAAGTTGATCTACATATATATCCAACATCAGTCTGCATATTCTCCATACTGTTCTCTATACATTTCTTAAGGAGCTGACAAGGAGAATTTGTTTAACAATCAAGAGCTTCTTTAGTTAGTGATCATTTTCTTTATTCTCATGGCTTAAATGTTTGATTGAGAAGTTACATTGTTAAGAGAAATTACATGCTGGTCAGTCTTAAGGGTCATATGGTTAACAAAATTATGAGTATGCTTTTTTTTATAGATTGGGATGTTGGCAAGGCATGTGAAGCTTCCAAGAACATGTACTCAAGCAGATGTGAGAGTTATGTTTATTAACACTTACTTAATAGATTACCTGATTAAATAACTTCAGTTACATAGTGTGGTTGTACAGATGATGTGAGTGTAAGAGGTGATTAAAGTGGTGACATTGTGGTTGTGTTGCTTGGAATTTAAGTTTACTTGTCTGGAAGGAAAATAGATTTGTAAGGTCTACTACATATTGGTATGAAATATAAATATATGAAATATTCCTGTGTTAATGCCATTCAATTCTGTGTTAATTTGTTTTGCCAGGTATTGAGTTACCCAGAATTGGTGGTGTGTTCTGTAGTAGCACTTAATCAAATATACCTTAATCCTTTACACCCTAAGATCATTATGCATATTCTCCATACTGTTTTCTATACATTTCCTAAGGTGCTGACAAGGAGAATTTGTTTAATTATCAAGAGCTTCAGTACTTGTTGATCATTTCCATTATTCTCATGACCTTAATGTTTGATTCAGGAGTGATACTGTAAGGAGAATTTAGATGCTGGTCAATCTTGAAGGGTTAAATTGTGCTGTGTTTCTGTTGCCTGTTTCTAGGTCATTGTTATAAGCAGTCAAGTAACCTGGAATAGAGCTTGATTTAAGCAAACAAAAGTATTAGTGGTAACAGCGGAGCTCACAGAGCATAGCCCCATAATTATACAAAATAGTAGTAACCCATCAAGCCGAAAAAATTTGGATGTACGACTGTAAGACTGTATGATTGTACGACTGCACAACCATACAAGGTGTTACTTTTAGCATGCGTGGTCAACTGTGCCGCAGGCACACTGACGCCACAGCTTTGTCCAGTAGTCCAGTGGTCAGTGTACTGAGCTCCGAGTCAGACAACCCGGGTTCTAGTCCTGGCCGGGGCAAGGCGTTGTGCCCTTAAGACATGTGGGGAAAAAAAAATGTGAGCTCTGCTTTTAGGCTTGGCTAAATCTATATATTAGAAAAGAAGGCTATGGAGTTATTGTATGCTACTCTCATATGCATCCTGTTGCATAACTTGTAAATTGCATGTTTTTCTTGTGTTCTTTTACCATTAGGTTCTAAAAGCTGTTGATGAGCTGAACAAAGATTCAACAATTCATGGCATCATTGTTCAGCTTCCTCCTGATTCTGAAAACCCAGTTGATCCTGCAATTTGTACCAATGCTGTAGCTCCAGAGAAGGATGTCGATGGGTGAGATTTTCCCCTTAACTCTCTAACTCCCAAGATCTGATTGTTAATTCTCCCATCTGGCTGTTACACATTTCCTTGTAATTTAGTTACAAGAATTTGGTGTTATATCATAATAACAACCTCTCACTGATAAGTCTGATTATTCTCAATACTTGTTTGTTGGATTTTGTATGGATATTGTAGGGAGAAGCTACATATAAATCACTTCTGGGAGTTAAAGGGTTAAGGTGCTCACCATAGATATTACTTTATTTTCCTTTATTATTAAATCTCTGCCTTTCTGGATTCTTAAAGCATTAAACCTTTACACCCAAACACCAATATGCATTTTCTTCATACTGTTCTCTATAAATTTCTTAAGTTGCTGATAAGGAGAATTTGTTTAACAATCAAGAGCTTTAATTGCATGGTGATCATTTCCTTTATTCTTGCAACCTTAATGTGTGACTCAGGGGTGATATTGTAAGGAGAAATTATATGCTAGTCACACTAAGTGGTTAGTCAGGGCTAACAGCTACATGGTCTGAAAGAGTCTTGTGAGAATCTTTACTAGGGATGGTAAAGGTTTTTACCTTAGATCTCAGTAAATTTTGTAAACTGTTTTCGTATCTGTATACAGTATTAATTTTTTCGGGTGATTTCTTCAATCAGTAGTTTAATTTTTTTCAGTGTCTTTCCTTGTGAGTCAACATTTTTTGGGGGAGGTGGGTTTGGAAAAGGGCACAATGATTTATGAAAATTTTTCTTCTCTCTCCCTTTCCTTGTTGGGTTTTTACTGAGAGAACTGTAGGGGTGTGCTTTGTTTTGTAGCCATATCATGTTCAGGCCAGAGCTTCTTAGTTTCCAATGTCTGCTTGACTAACATTACTACAAGTTGTCGTTATATTTCTGATCATGTGCTAAAGATGAAATCTGTTTTTTATACTTGTGATTCTGTTGAGCGAATTGAGTTTAATGTTTTTGTCCCTCTTATATCATTAAATCAATTTTTTAGCACATTGTTATGATATGTCATTTTGTTAAAGGTTGCATGACGTGAATGCAGGAAAGCTGTCCAGAGGAGAGTTAGATGACTGTATTGTGCCATGTACTCCCAGAGGCTGCTTGGAGTTGATAAAAAAATCTGGTGAGTGGCATTTATCAATTGCAAATATTTCAAGGAATTTATCACCAACATGAAGTAATGCATTATAATTATGAGCACTAAAAGTATGATCTTCACCCTATAGTTCATATCACAGTCATTGGGTTTTGTTTTAGAACCCTCTACATGTACACCCTAATATCAGTATGCATATTCTCCATACTGTTCTCTATTAATTTCCTAAGGTGCTGATAAGGAGAATTTGTTTAACAATCAAGAGCTCCATTACTCGGTGATCATTTCCTTTATTCTTAGTGTTTGATTCAGGGCTGATATTGTGAGGAGAATTTAGATACTAGTCACTCTTTAAGGTCAAAGGGTTAAGCCTCTTCACCCTGACATCAGTATGCATATTCTCCTTACTGTTCTCTATACATTCCCTAAGGTGCTGATAAGGGGAATTTGTTTCATAATCTAGAGCTTCTCTAGTTGGTGACCATTTCCTTTATTCTCATGACCTTAATGTGTGATTTGGGTTGATATTGTAAGGAGAAATTAGATGTTAGTCACTCCTAGGGTTTAAAGGGTTAAAGTATCAAACTTGTCAAACAGGTACAGAAATTGTTGGAAAGGAAGCGATAGTTCTCGGAAGAAGCAAAATTGTGGTAAGTAAACCTGCATTTCACGATATCTTGAAATGACTTTTCACCTGGATGGTGTAATTCTAAAGATATATAATTCTTAATTCTCTGAACTGATTCAGAAGGAAATTTATAGCTGCTGGAAGGGAGATCTTAATCAGATCTTAAGCATTCCTTATTTCATGATCAACAGGGATCTCCTATGGCAGATCTTCTCAAGTGGCATAATGCTACAGTGACTACATGTCATTCAAAAACTAAAGATTTGCCAGACGTGGTATGTTATTAGTTGTAACTATTAAGTAATTGTTGACTGAATATTTGATGGTGTGGTCTGTTTTTCTCAAAGCATTCAAATGATAAGCTGAATTATATGCAAACGCATGCATTTCAATTGGTTGTTACTTATGATCTTTGATCTAACGGATCCTTCCAACATGCTGTTAGAGGAGGTCCTGGGGCATGCTCCCCTGGAAAAATCTGAAACTCTCCAAGACATTATTTTCAGTATTTTGGGACATGCATATATTTGAGTAACTTCATTTAGCCAGACATTGATGTTAGGATCAGTTCAAAAATACTTATTTTCTGTCTGTGATTGTAATTCACTAAGTAGCCGGGGCTTACTGGCTTCAAGTGACAACCTTGACACAAAGTACTACATGCTACTTGAATCTTTTGGTTGATAGGTGAGGAGGGGAGACATTGTTGTGGTGGGAATTGGAAGAACAGAATTTGTCAAGGTATATGTTATTCAGTGTGTTATGTGTTATGATACATGTAAAAAGGTACAGTGGTTCCAGGGATTTCAAAATGTTTTGAAGTAGGTGTCAGACTCTACAAAAGTAGGTGACTGTAAGAAAGTTCACTATGAGCCAAAAGTTAATTATTTTGACCAAAGTGACCAGTGACATGTTATTGAGTAGCTAGCAGAATTTATGATGTTGCTGGCTTGTTTTGAAAGCTCTGTGGTTCACTAAGCAGTAACTTATCCCAGTGTCTGTAGCATGAAGCAAGTCAGAGGATTCCTTCCCCCTCTTTCCCCAAATGAGTTGCTCATTGGTCACAGGTTTTCCCCCTTCTCCTTAGCCTTTATAGAATCAGGTTTCCTTAATACTCATTTTTGTTCCTGGATAGAGAGGGTTACTGAGATAGAAGAGCTGTGGCTTAGTGCTAGCTGCTAACAAAATTTGGCCCTCAATGAACTTTTAACAGTCACCTACTTTTGCAGAGTCTGATACCTACTTCAAAACATTTTGAAACCCCAGGGCCAATCCCCAGCTGGAAATAGTCTTTTTGAATAACACTTCACATCCTGGCCTGGTCTTGCCCATAGGACCTATCAACTTGGAGTCCAGGCCTGGGTTTTTCAAAGCTGGGTTAAGATAACCCAGGGTTAGTGTGAAATTTGGTTTCAGGTCTGAAAGCTTTAAAAGAAAATTCAGTTTGAATCTTTTTGCTTGCAACTCGATCATTGGATTTTTGAAAAAGAAAAGGGAAAATTTTTCCTTAAAGGCTTTTGAACAAAGAAGTAGAGAAACCTGGATTAAAATTTATCCTTGGGTTTAAGTGCTAATTTACCTTCAAACAACTGAGCCCAGAGTTAAACCAAGTAGCTATTTCATCTCCTGTGTCATAAACATACCTCTATTGTCCTTGAATGATTAAGTGAATATTGAATACTTTTTTAAATAAGTATATGTTAATAGATCATAATGGATTTGATAAAAACTAGCTTTGTTCATTTTGGTTGAGGTGAGTGGAACCCTTACCAGTGATAATTTATAATTTATTTATTTTTATTTTGCTTCTCAGGGGGACTGGATTAAAGAAGGAGCAGTTGTTGTTGACTGTGGAATAAATGTGATTCCAGGTTTGTGAATAATAAAGAATGATCAAGGTTACATTAATTATCAAGATGGGTTTTGTCCAAGGTTATTTGCTACTGACCCTGCAGTAACATCATCAAGGACAATGAGAGAACTTAAGAGGAACTGAAGATTGCAATCACATGTCAGTTCTTTTTTGTGTGAACTTACCTGTGTCAGCATTTATTTGGTAACTTGTTGCGTAATTACATGCGGTAATTTCCCCTTAAATTTTTAGATGAGACTAAAAAAAGTGGACGTCGCCTTCTTGGTGATGTAGATTTTCAAGGGGCAAAGAAAAGAGCAAGCTGGATTACTCCAGTACCAGGAGGTATGTTGTGTTCACTTGTGACCAGAGCTGTTTGTTTTGTTTAGTATGTTTGGTTTTTTTTTGCGTGAGATCTATAGACACGATACTTCCATTTGTTTTGGACACATTCAGAAAATAACCTACCTATGCTTGAAATGATGGGTTGCAAAAGTAAAGTAGAGTGCAATCATATGTGAAGGATTGCTCAAAAGAAAGATCAGCTTCTTGTGAATGACTGTACTCTTGTGCAATATAGACTTTGCACATGTAGTGTTGCTGTAATTCCCCAATATGCTTCAGTTTATCCTAGTTGTGGAAAATGTTGAGCCAACACTTATGCCAGTATTTGTCTGATGTTGGCAGGTGTAGGACCGATGACTGTTGCCATGTTGATGAACAACACTGTTGACAGTGCTAAGAGGGCTCTACAAAAACAAAAGGTCTCTCCTACTTTGAGAATGGGCTTGTCTTTGTCCCCATTGTTTCCATATTTCAGGCGTTTTCTACGCAAATGATTTTTCTCTGTGCTTTGCTTATATACTGCTCTGCAAATCGATTTCATTCTCCATACTGCATTAGTGTTTTGCTTTTCAGGGGGGAACTGGTAAAATTAATTTACTGCTTGAAGTGACTCTTCATACTACCTAAAATCACAGGAAAGGATTACACTAAAGTTTTAAAAATTTCTGTTAAATGCTGTGCTTAAAATAAGGGAAAACACTGTTGTAGATCGATTGTGCTTTGTCAGTGTTGTTACTAATGCATTGTGACACACATGTAGCAGTTCTTTATGGTGAAATGAAATTTTTGAAAAAGACAAAAGAATGCATACTGTAGCTATTTTCACATAGATTTTTATAGACTAAAAGCTATTTTCTGATTGTTGAAACAAATTGAGAGTAGGATAAATGTTTTCATCGTGGGTCACAGCAGTTTTGTAGGATGTTGGTAACCAGAAAAAAACTGCCACCTACTTATTAGATTTGTCAGAATTAACACAAATACCTGCTTTGTCCAGACATTACTCATTAATCATTACAAATGATTTACAAAAATTAATCAGACATTAGCTCCATTTGAAGAGTACTAAAAATTGTTGAGTCAAATTGGCCCAGTGCTCTTAATTGGGTTACTTTCAAATTGGTAATAGATATTATTAATGATTATTAACACATTACTAATAAATGATTAATATTTTATGTCTTAAATGCTTACAGTAAGTATAAACATGTATTCTACATTCTCATAACATGTAACATTCAAGGAAGGTGTAAGAGTTAGGTTTAAATCTAACTGTCGAAATTTCTTTAAGGTTTATTGCTTATGCAGCCAACTTTCTAGTCTAAGAATGGTTGTTATTTTGCAACAGGCTTCAACTTAAGTTTGTTCTGTGACATGAATAGGTACACTTGTGTATGTACAGCTGTATCTAGAGGAATATTAAGGCAAATCAGTACTTGAACTGTGCTAGTCATTAAGCCACAATAAGGGAAAAAAGGAATTGAGACACTTTAAGTACAAAGATTGTGAGTGTTCAATTATAAAAGTTTATCTTTTCCTATTCACCTTGCATTTTCCTCCTGTACCATCCCATTCCCTTCATTTAGTGCTGTACAAGAACAATACGGGGCTTGGCAATGACAAATCCAACTTTGTTCAGGAGGTTGTGAACAATATGAATCGGAAAGGGGTATAGTTTGCTCAATATACATGAAAAATTAGTCAGTGTCTCAAACCTTTTGGAGCTTGTTGTAGCCAGGCAGTACAGGCTCACTGGGATTGCTTGTATGTGATTTGCTGGTTTGCTTGTTGTCAAAACCTACTGAAGGAAATTCAGCTTTTTTTGAATTTGCATTGCAAATGGAAATAGTAAATAATTGTAGCTCTCAATGTTTTTGGAGTGAGGGAAGGAGCTGACTGACCAGGTGAGGATGCAAGACTTGATATCTGAAAGAAACACAAATGATAAATAAGTCCCTCATGACTTATTTGGTTAGTTAGGAAGATAAGTCTGTTATAAAAAGTATTTTAAAAGTACTCCTTGGTATGAGGGGAGGGTGGTTTTAAACCTCAAAACTTCCAGAAGTGATTAACATGTAACTTCTCCCTTTAATATCCATACATAATCCAGGAAACAGGTAATGAGAGTACTGTACTCAAACAGGTAGGAGTTGTTATCTTGAACTAACACCAGATTCTTGTTACTGTTTCACAAGGAAATGTGTGGCAGCTAGGGAACAGTATGTGTAGAGCAGGGGCTGTTGCTAACAGGGTGCCCAGGATGCATTTTTGAGGTTGAAAGCCTGTTCTGAAACCTTCCACTCAGTTGCTGGCAAATTGTTATTTGTCAAACCTGTCTGGTTGCGTTCATGGGGTGAGGCAGGTGATATGGGAAGGTATACTGGGGGAGGGGGAGGGAGAGCGTATTTTGTAGGGAAAGGACTTTTTAGCTGGTATCATCTGGTACAATTGGATTAATTGTCTTCCCCTGGATCTAAATATTGATTCTCTGCACTGTTTATCATTCATTAATGATACTTTTGCATCCAAAAATTTGGTGGGCAATTATACAATATCCCCCAGTGTAAATCTTCTTATGTTATCACCTTTCTGGTACAAAATGTAGTAGTGATCATGCTCAGCGAACACTGGGGTTGGAAGGGTTGCATATTAATGAACCAGTTGAAGAGACTATGGTAACAGGATATCTCACAGAAGTTAATGTATAAAAGTGAAGTCAACTGTGCTGAATTCAAAGTATTTTGCTTTGTGATATTCTATTTTTTCATGTTGGCTTCAATTGCATTTTTAAAAATTCCATAATTGAGTCATTGTGCTGAGAAAGCTGCAGAATGCGCACCTTGTCCAGGTCCTTCCCTCATTCCTGGTAAACATGGTAAAGTGATCTCAGCTGCAATTTATTGGTCAGTGATTCATTTTTCAATCTCTAACATTTCTCTTGTGTAGATATGTTTAATCACTGTTACATAGCTATCAGTTATTGCCAATTTATCTTTAAAGGACTGAGCAATATTTCATCCAAAAAAAAGTTACCTTGTTGATATAGACATTGTGGAAAGATATTTGTACATCACCACTAAATTAGTTAAACATGAGTGAAATTTGTCAAGGCTGACAGAATTCCATAGTAAATGACAGCTGAGTATAATTGGTTCTGTGATTAAAAAAAAAGATTCTCTCTTGTGGCATAGGACTGCTCTAATTACAGTGAGTACTTAATCAAGAGTTGTTGGGGTTCTCATAATGCTGAATTAGAAAACCATTGTCTTTCATTTGAACCGTCTTTGCCGGTCACTTTTAAATTCTATTCAATTTATTTACTTGTAATTTGATTACAGTAGGATTTGTTGAAACTTGTACATGTACAATGCTTGAGTGCTTGAAATAAATTCTACTTTGCATTGGAATTTTTATGGGGTCGATTCATTGTGATCAAATTATTTACTAATATTATGTGTTAGGGTGTTAATTAACATGTTATGCATTAATGGTAATTACACATATCATTCTAACCTTGATGCATCTTTGAATGCCGAGATGTACAATTAAAGGTTCAGTGAATTTCAGGGAATGCTTTAACGCTTTAACTCCCAGATCAAGTTTGTAATTCTCCTTACTTTCAACCATACAATTCGTATAATGTTACTTCAGAGAATTTAGTATTGGATGAATTGATTGTCCCCAAACTGATATTTTTCTTAATTCTCATTACTTACCTGGTTGATATTGTGGTGATATTGTAAGGAGAAATTCTGTGTTGGTCACTCATGGGAGTTAAGGGTAAAGATCATTTTTCTAAGTGTTATATTGTTTTTTTTTTCCTTTGAATTGTTGTCTTGCACCCCCCTGGTCATCACTCCTTTGCTCTGTGAGTAAATTCAGCTCAATTCTTCTATAGAAATGCATAAGAAATATATGTCTGGAATATCCTTTAGAGGTCCTTTTTGCCAAAGGTTTTTCTTTGTTAGTTGTTAATTTAGTTGTCAAAATAATCAAGATGGAAGCAAAATGAACATTTTTATGAAATAATGGGTCACTCTTGTTACCAGCTGATCAGTTCTTTTTACAGGGTGGGCCTTGGGACATTCGTTATCTACCACTGAATCTTCAAAGACCTGTTCCAAGGTAAGTTACTTTATCGCTCTAAACCACATTGTATGGCTATTTTTTTTTTTGGCGGTTCAATTTTTTATTTGAATACAGACAGTAATCCAAGATTACTTTATTCAACTTTGTGAATTGTTCAAGAAAATTCTTGCTACTCTCTTAACATTCAAATGCAATTTAACTAGTCAGAATCAATTATGGCTCAATCACGTTCTTTCATTTTCTTGTGCTTCAGTCATTTAACTTGTTTTTAATTTTATTTCTTGTTGGCTGACAATACACCCTATTTTAAATTTATGATTTACTTTAAATGTCTGGTAATGTAGGAAAGTCATTTGATTATTACTTTTGGCTAAGTGTGTTGCATTTAATTTGGTGACATGTATGTGATATTTTGATTAACCCTTTAACTCCCAGATCAAATTTGTAATTCTCCTTTCTGTCAATCATACATGCAATTCTTATCATGTTAGTTCCAAGAATTTAGTATTGAATCAACTAATTATCCCCAAATTGATATTTTTCTTAATTCTCATCACTTATCTGATTGATATTATATTGATATTGTAAGGAGAAATTCTGTCTTGGTCACTCACGGGAGTTAAAGGGTTAAACAAGGTTTTGTTGTTCCCTTTTTAGTGATATTGATATCTCAAAACATCAAGCACCTAAGAAGATTTTCGAACTGGCAAAGGAAGCTACAATCCTTGATTATGAGGTAATAGTTGCACCTATATCATGCCCCCTCCCCGCAAAAACACTTCAGATAGGAGAGTGTTGTTTAAGCCTTGAAACCTGTACCTTTTTGAGAAAAAATATGTTCACTTTGCAACTCTGTGTTCATCAGTGATGTGTGTTCATCAGTGATGCACTTGACTGTGCTTTGTATGTGCCACTTTTTTGTTCTTACCACATTTTCTTAAACATTTTCTGTGATATTGAACTGAAGAGATGTATAGCAACCTGGAATTGATTTGTCTAAGCGACATCAGGCACAGATAGTTTGCACATGTAGCATTTTTCTTTTTGGTTTTTGTAGATTGAGCTCTATGGAAACAAGAAGGCCAAAGTTTCCCTTGATGTCTTGGAAAGACTCCAAGATCAATTAAATGGAAAATATGTTGTTGTTGCTGGGTGAGTTGGGATCTCTAACATGTGAACTGTTTTTAATCAGTAAAATCTTGAAAGGTAGTGAGGTGTTGTTATTGGAGTAAAACTTCAAATGGAGTGTTGAGTACAACTAATACTTAAATTAATTTGAAAATTATTTAAGTCCTCTGCTACTTAACTTGTTAACCCCTAAGAGTTACCATCGTCTATTTTTTTCCTATAGTATCACCCCTGAATCAAACTTCAAGGTCATAAGAATAAACAAAATGATCACCAACTTAAGAAGCTCTTGATTTTCAAACAAATTAGGAAATGTATAAAGAACAGAATGAAGAATGGGCATACTGATATTAGGGTGTAGAGGGTAGAGAGACTTATGTCAACATTTTTGTCTTGATGAAGGATGACCCCCACCCCATTTGGAGAGGGGAAGAGTACAACTACAATAGGCGTGGCACAGGCCATGGGTGCACATCTCAAGAAGAACTGTTTTGCCTGTATTCGTCAGCCTTCCCAAGGCCCTACATTTGGGATCAAAGGTAAGGTAATTAGATTTTAGAAATCACAAATCTGGGCCCAGTTCTGTGAGGGGCAGATAGCAGTATCCAACAGATAAATCATATCCAGCATATAAGTGATTGTAAAACATCAGCGCTATCATCCAACCTTCCAACAACCAGGACTTGAACTGTTGTCATCATGATAAATATAAAAGTCAAACATCTAGACAAAGGCCATTCTGTATGACTGGTGATCAAAAATGAACAACAAAGAATATCTTTTCATTTCAGGTGGAGCAGCTGGAGGGGGCTATTCACAGGTCATTCCCATGGAAGAGGTAAGCACCAGGAGTCCACTCAGGTCTTTGTGAGTGATCATCAGTACACTGCGTGGCTCAAATGATGATGCTCTGTTCTACTACACTCTACTTTAAGTACACTTCAGCCTAAAGAATAATCACAACCTGCAATGCCATATTGTAAATTCTCTCCTTTTTGTCTACCTAGTTTAACCTTCACTTGACTGGTGACATCCATGCCATTACAGCAGCAAACAACCTTTTGGGTAAGTTATAAGTGAATGATAATATTTTTTAAAGTAGTTATGACTAGACAAGGTTAAAACCCCATTTCTGTTATATTACACAATAAAATACCTGAGTTACATGAGTGCCCTGAATGGTCAAAACCTTTCATTTATTGCACACGAAAACCCATAGAAAACTGTTTATTTTATGAAAACAATAGACCACACTATCTACTGATAACCTAATAAACTATGTAGGATGTTGGAGGAACATGAGAAAAGTTTGTAAATCACAAGCTGGAGACATAACTAAACCCTTTAACTCCCAGATCAAATTTGTAATTCTCCTTACTGTCAACCATACAATTCTTACAGTGTTAGTTCAGAGAATTTAATATTGGATCAACTAATCATTCCCAAATTGATATTTTTCTTTATTGTCATCATGTACCTGGTTGATATTGTAGTGATATTGTAAGGAGAAATTCTGCCTTGGTCACTCAAGGGAGTTAGAGGATTAAATCTCATTTACTGGGTTACCTCATTCTCTGGGAATTTTGTTAATAAGGAAAATGGAGTTACATGTACTGCAGCTGCATGTTGAGATGGAGTTTGATATGAAATCTGGAATACCTCTCTTTCAGCCTCTGCCATTGATACAAGGATGTTTCATGAATCATCCCAGACAGATGAGGTGTGTGTTTTTGTGACAGAGTTGCTAACTTATTGATCATTTTTTTTAGCTTTTTTTTTTCTAACTATAAACCTCTCTCAGTATATGGTTAGACATTGTGCTGTACACCCAGACAGGTTGAAGATTACTGTTGCAGCCGAAATTCAACTTGAATTGTAAACTTCATGATGTGATTGATCAACATGCAACTTTTCCTCACAATAATATATTTTTTTGGTTATTACCATGTCCTTTAAACTGCCAATAATGATATCCCAATGAAACATAAAATAGTGTAAAATAATTTACAATGCAATAGATCAATTTGTTAATCAAATGACCTTGTCAAGGAAATGTTTGTAATAGCAGCTACAAAAGTGGAAGGTAGAATTACTGTAAATCAAATCAAGAGGGTTAGTGATCATGAATTTGCAACACTCTCTCTCACCCTAAGGGTGACTGGCTTCTAATTTCTCCTACAGTATCACTCTTGAATCACACATTAAGGTCAGGAGAATTAAGGCAAAGATCACAAATTCAAGGAGATCCTGATTGTCAAACAAATCATCCATGTCAGCATCAGAGAAAATGTGTAGAGGACAGTTTGAAGAATAAATGTTAGGGTGTAAAGGGTTATATATGTTCAAGCATGAAAATGTATCCCCAGATACAAAAAACCACAGTACGTCAAGGAAAGGGTGGAAAAGCATGAAAGTATGTTTCAATCAAATTTAAATTTTTCTCTTTCTGTCCAAGGCCCTGTTTAATAGGCTTGTACCTGAGAAACATGGAAAAAGGGAATTTTCAAACATTATGCTGGGAAGGCTGAAGGTAATTTTAGTTAAAAATAAATATAAATTCTAAGTAGATTAAGTCAAGTTTATTCAGACTTTTTTCAGAAGGGAATGAGTAAAAATAACACAGTGCAGTTATTATTACTTTTTTTTTTCACTCTTCCCCCTTCCCCCCCCCCCCAAAAAAAAAGAGAAAAAAAATATGAAGAAACTTAACACAAGCCACCCAGAATTTACATTTAGTTTAGAATTTTATTGTAATTGGAATCATATTGTACTGTACATGATATAAGTATCTTGTATAATTTGTTGTAAGTATTGCAAGTAACTGTATGTCCTGCGGTTAATGCAAGTAGATTTACTTAATATTGCAATGTTAGTGGTGTAAGTAGCCTATACTGTGCATGTAATTGTATTCTCTGCAAAGAATTTATTCACTATGGTACTGATGACATAAGTAACCTGTATTGTTAGTAATGTAAATTTTGTTCTGTAAGTAGATTGTTGTAATCATTACTAAAACAAAACAAAAAAACCACAGTGAAATACCTTCTTTCAGACCTTCCTTGCTACTGAGAAGATTGCTACCCTCCCCCCCCCCCCCCACCACTAACTTAACACTACCTATCCTGCAATACAAATGATAAAGTGTTCTAACTTTAGTGTTAGAGATCTTTTATTGTATATGCTTGTATACTAGTTATAATGCCATTCTGTTTTGATACTCCTAGAGGCTTGGTATTGATAAAACAGACCCTAATGAGTTGACACCAGAAGAGATCTCAAAGTTTGCACGCCTAGACATCGATCCAGACACCATAACTTTTCAGCGAGGTAATGTAAATAAACTGGCATTGTATAATTGTAATATAATATTATACTTCCCTTTAAACAAAACAAAAGAAAACCTTAAAAAGGACAATATTGATTCATTATTCCACTACTATGCCATTTCACAATATTATAGGGCAATGACATGCACAAAATATGCCACTGTGTTACACTGTAGAACAGGGCAAAAATAGCAACAAAAGGGAGCAAAGAAAAGGCTGCATAGAGCAATCCATACTTTGTTTTTGTTCCACTTTCTTGTCTTGGCTTTTATAGCAACAAACTTTTAGGCATATCAGATTTTTGTGTCAATCATAAAATCATGTGAAATGCCCAGTTGTTGAGACAATAACGAAGGCAAGAGTGATCATGTGAAAATTAGACTCAACCCAAACTTAGCTCTATATGGACTGACAATTGATGGCATTTTGGATGTCTAGGTCATTAGGGATCACTTCAATTGGTTTTTATTTAATTTAGAGCAGTAGAAAAACCAATTTGAAAAGTAATCACTGTGAGCAGTCAGAATAAAGGTTTGCACTATCATTAGCCAATGAGAACTCAACCTAAAAACCAAGCAAACTTCTTGAGGAGTAAAAGAACATTATTGTTTTTTAGTTTTGCTTCTGATTGGTTGACAGATTGGTGCAAGTTGATAGAACCACAAAGCAAAGTTAAATAGAACCAAAACAATCCAGCATTACTTTTGACACTCCAGTTAAAATTGCTGACTGGTCATCCTGATTACTTGAACTTGAGCATCAATTGGAACATTGCGAGTGATTGACCAATCAGAGGGAAGTTGAAATAAATACTGCTGCTGTAGTTAAGCTTTTCTAATATTGGTTACAAATGTACCTGTTTGGTTGTTGTATATTTTTCCTCTTACAGTGATTGACACAAACGACAGGTTTCTTAGGAAGATTACCATTGGTCAGTCAGCTACAGAGAAGAACTTCACACGTCAGGTATTGATAACTAACTTAATGGCTTGTGTGTAACATTTGTGTTGAATTGTGGTTATATTGGAGGTTGTTTATTGGGAAACTTTTCTCATCCATGTGGTATCAATTTTTGCAGACTCAGTTTGACATTACTGTTGCAAGTGAGATTATGGCCATCTTGGCACTGACCACTGATCTGAGGGATATGAGGAAAAGGTATTAATAGTGATGATCCTATTGTTTGTTCGTTTTTTTTTTTTTTAATTACCAGCAACCCTTTACACCCTAACATCAGTATGCATATTCTCCATACTGTTCTCTATACATTTCCTAAGTTGCTGAGAAGGAGAATTTGTTTTAATAATCACAAGCTTCTTTATAAATTGGTGATTATTTCCTTTATTCTTGTGACCTTATAAATGATATTTGGGTGATATTGTGAGGAGAAGTAAGATGCTAGTCACTCTTGGGGTCAAGGGGTTAAAGAAACAGGGGAATATGACTTCTTTACAGGGGTTTCAAAATGTTTTGAGGTAGGTGTCAAGCAAAAGTTGTTGACTGTGAAAAGTTCATTAAGGGCCAAAAGGTAATTTCTTTGACCAGAATAACTGGCAACATGTTATTAAGTAGCTGGCGGAACTCCTGGAGTCACCAGCTTGTTTTGAAATCCCTCTATTTGAATCAAAGGTCACAAGTTTACTGCTTGTGTAGCCGGCAATCTGGTAAAGAAATCACTCGATATTACATCGTTCTCCTCTGATGTACCTCAAAAACCTGTCTTCACTTCTCACAAACACAATTTTGTAAAACCATACTCAGACTGAACAGGTTTCTTATCTTCAATGCAGGCTTGGTAGCATTGTTGTAGCCAGTAACAAGGTTGGGGAACCTGTGACAGCAGATGATCTGGTAAGTATAATTTTGTCAATAAGACCTCAGTTGGCCCAGGTAGTTTGTATGGCTTCAAGATGACCAGCCTGCTGAAGTGGCCACATACCATGTCTGATCAAATGGGAAGCCCTCAAGAGCATCAAGTTTATAAAAGGTCTTGATCCTTTCTGTATGTCCTCCAGTAGTGCCCCCTTCATTAACAACCCCCCTCCATGCTGAGCAACAGTGCTAGTTGCCTTTCCTTTTGGTCTCAACCCGTAAGCCCCTTAAGATTGACTAGCATCTAATTTCTCCTTACAATATCACCCCTGAATCACACATTAAGGTCATGAGAATAACGGAAATGATCAACAACTACAGAAGCTCTGGATCATTATGCTAATTCTCCTTGTCAGCACCCTTGGAAATGTAAAGAGAACAGTATGGAGAATATGCATACTGATATTAGGGTGTAGGGGGTTAAACCAAAGAAATGCATACTACATGTCTATGTTTTTCTGTCAGGAAAAGAAATTGGAAAATCAAATTTAACTAGTCTTCCATTTGACTATTGTTAATCTTTCTTGAGAACCTTTCAACTGTCTATGCTAAAGTAGATGTTTTTCTGGCTTATGTGATAAGTTGTTGAACCTCTCCACTCTGACTGATTTTTTTTTTTTCCTGCTATTTCAGGGTGTTGGTGGAGCACTGACTGTTCTCATGAAAGATACGATCAAACCAAACCTCATGCAGACATTGGAGGTAAGATTTCTGTAGATTATGAACTGTCTCTCCTTTTTAGTGAAGGCCATAGCTCAAGTCAAAAAAACATCAACCCAAAAAAAATTGAAGTAAGGGTGCAGACCTGTGGAAGGGAAGTGTGCAAAAAGTAGCACCTTAATCCTAGAGTTCTGCATGGCAGACTAATATTTATATATATGTATGTAATTTTTTTTTTGACTTGTTGAAAAGGAAGGACTGCTTGTAGCTTTAAATATCTCAGAAATTGGAATAACTGAAAAGGCAAGCCAAAAAAAAAGCAACATCAAAAGGATAACCCAACCACCAATTTTAGTCTTTTTATGGTACGATGATACTGTTAAATTTTACAAGGCAAAATGAAGCAATTTTACCTTTGCCAATTTCCAGTACAGCAAGAGTGTTCAAATGTTTCCTCTCTTTGTTATTGTTATCATTTTTTTCAGGGCACTCCTGTCTTTGTGCATGCTGGACCATTTGCAAACATTGCTCATGGAAATTCATCCATTCTTGCTGACAGAATTGCTTTGAAGTTGGTTGGACCAAATGGATTTGTTTGTAAGTAATTACATAGTATTGGAGATGTTTATTTGGGTACCAACTCCCGTAATGTGATCATTATTAGATGAAATTGTGCAAAAAAAAAAATCTTTATGTGTAATTTTTTTCCTTTCTCATTTTAGTCACAGAGAGTGGTTTTGGTGCAGACATTGGCATGGAGAAATTCTTCAACATCAAATGCAGATATAGTGGTAAAGTTTAAAATTTACAAAAACTTTGATAAAAGCAGATAATGTTATTTACTGTGAATGGGGTTTGTATGGGATGAAACTGTGCCATAGGTCTTGCATATGGCTCAAGTCTGAAGGCTGACGGTTTTACTCAAGACCAAGGGCACAGTTTTTTCCCATATGGACCAATTTAGACTGGGAAAGGCTCTTTTTTTCCTCGTGGTTTGCTTTTTTCTGCCTTTGCCTGATTGGTGTGGAGGCGATTCCCAACCAAGGTTGATGGGCTTTGAGAGCATGATTAGCCAATCACATTTGATGAGTTTAATTGCGACCCACTGAGATGCTTCAGGAAAAAAGTTTAAACCTATCCCTATAAAATCCCACCAGACTGTCTAAATTTGTATCACTGCTGAGGGAATTTTGATCAGGTTTTATTGAAACAAAACCTCAGTGATCACTGCAGCCAATTGGAACACAGAGAAGAATCACAAGGAACCAATAGAGTGAAAACAAACAAACTTCCTGTTGCACTGGACAGTATGGGTCACAAAATTGCTTATGGTTTTACCTTTTTCATGTGATTGGTTTGGGCATTTAGGCAAGTTTTTAGACCAATCAAAGAGAAAACTAAAGCAAAATCAAATGCTTTCCCTGATAACTTCAGTCACCAGATTTGAATTGTCTTGTTTTTCATACCTCCAATGCAGTCCTTAATATATTAATAAAATTATTATTAAATATAATTTTCTATTTTGCAGGTCTAACTCCCCATTGTGCCATCATTGTTGGAACTGTCAGGGCTTTGAAGATGCATGGTGGAGGACCAAAGGTGATTGAGTTGTGCTTTTTTCTAAGTTTATTTTTCTTTTTTTTTCTTCCCTCTCTTTACTTTAGGATAGCACCTTGTTCTTTGAACCAAATGAAGTGCTACTAAAGCCAGAGTATAAGCTATAATCTTGAAAATTGGCCAGAGTTTTGTTAGTTTTTCGAACAGCAGTTTTCCTATCTTTTTAGCAGTTGCTGAGCATGCTATTTTTATTTCTCTTTATTCTGAAGGTTGTAGCAGGGAAACCTCTCCCTTCTGAATACACCACTGAGGTAAGTCTTATTAACACTTTATACCCTAATGTCAGTTTCCTTATCCTCCATACTCTTCTTTACACATTTCCTTTGATGCTGATGAAGAGAATTCATTTAACAATCAAAGATTCATAAGTTGGTAATCATTTCTTTTATTCTCATGATCATGACCTTAATGAATGATTCAGGAGTATTAGTGAAGGAGAAAATAGATGCTGGTCATTCTTAGAGGTTTAAGTGTTAACCCTTTACACCCTAACATCAGTCTGCATATTCTCCATACTGTTCTCTATAACTTTCCTGAGTTGCTGATAAGGAGAATTTGTTGAACAATCTAGAGCTTCTTTAGTTGGTGTTCATTTCCTTAATTCTCATGACCTTACTGTGTTTTTAAGGGGTGATATTGTAAGGAGAATCTAGATGCAAGTCACTCTTAGGGGTTAAAGTATTGATGATTGGTAAAGTGAGGGCTGTTCTAAGTGCCTCTCCACTCATGCCCTAACAAAGACTTAACTAAGCAACATTCCACTCTGGGATGTTGTTACAGTAGCAGCTGTCTGATATGTGTAGGTTGTATAATACCTGGGTTAGTCTGCCTCCTGTGTCCACCTTCATTCATCAAATATTCTTGCTCTTGCTCTGGAATATGATGCAATAGAAATTAGATTTTAATCAAAGGCTGCTCTGATGTTGAATAACTCAACAGACCCTGTGTAAGTTAAAGCAGTTTAAACTCTTCTGAAATGAACTGATTCAAATTCTGCAAGTCTGCCACCATTAAACTTGCAAATTGAGGGACTTTGGAACAAGCTTTTAAAATCTACATTCCAGCCAATTAAAGTTTTTGTTATAATCACAGGACTTGCTAATGTTCACATCTTTTCTCAACAGAACTTTGATCTTGTCAAGAGTGGAATGGTGAACCTTGCCAAACAAATTGAGAATGCACGATTTTTCGGGGTCCATGCAATAGTTGCTGTGAACCGTTTTCCGTAAGTAGTGTCAAGGCCCTTGTAGAAGAGAAAGTCTTCCTTCTTTCAGTGGCACTAAAGTTTTCAGACTATTTAGAGTTGGCTTTTCTTGTTTGTTTTGTTAGGAGTGACACTGATGCAGAGATTTCCTTGGTTATACAGCTTGCCAAGGAGGCTGGAGCTTATGATGCTGTAGAATGCACTCACTGGGCAGATGGAGGTACATGTATCAATATAAACCCTTTACATCCTAATATCACTATATATATTCTCCATACTGTTCTCTATACATTTCCTAAGGTGCTGACAAGGAGAATTTGTTTAACAATCAAGAGCTTCATAAGTTGGGGATCATTTCCTTTATTCTCATGACCTTGATGAATGATTCAGGGGTGACATTGTAAGGAGAAACTAGGTGCTAGTCAATCTTTTGGGTCAAATTGTTAAAGTTCTCTATACTATTTTTTTTGGTTTTGTTTGAAATTGGGTAAAATGTGTCAGGATAATTAAAAGATAATCACATATTTCAGGGGATGTTAAGAAATTTTTCTTGCTCGCTTGCTTACATGCATCTCATTGACAAGAGGTTTGTACTGAATGAGGCTGTTGATCTACAGGCAAGGGTGCCATGGGTTTGGCTGAAGCAGTTCTTAAAGCAGTAGAGGAACCAGTTGACTTCAAGTTCCTTTATGACTTGCAGGTATGTAAGCTCTGCAGTTTTACTCTGCACCATTCTTTCATCTTAACATCAGAGTTACTGTTTGCAAAAAACGTTCATGAATTGCACATGTGTAATCATAAATTTGTGGATGATCACTGTATCACTGACCTTTCACAGTTTGACTTGCTACTTTAAAAAAAAATGCAGAAATTAAGTTTGGATCTGAATTGAAAATAAGGGGTTTGACAGGGCCTGAAACACTGCCTACTATAGATAGCCAAATGTTGGTAGGGAGTCCAATCATAATGGGGTTCTGCCTTTCCTTTATTAAGTAAGTACATGAGTAAGTAACCCTTATTAGTGTAATCTTTGTAAAGGAAACCTTTGTTGAATGCAATTCTTTAGTTACCAATTGAAGACAAAATGAGAATAATTGCTCAGAAGATTTATGGTGCAGATGACATTGAGTTGTTGCCAGAAGCTCAGAAGAAGGTGGAACGCTATAAAAAGCAGGTGAATTTTTAATTAGTCTGTCTTTCCAGAAAATGTAATATTTTTGGAAATAGTTGTATCTTATTATCTCTCCATTGGGGAATGGGGACCACAGGCTGCCTGATTACGTTTTCCCTGAAAAGGAGCAACCCCAGTGGTTAATTGGTGGAAGGTCTCCATGATACCAAAATTTAGATTTTTGACAGGGAAAAGGAGCTTCCTGGGATGTTCTAGTAGGGTTTTTTTAAGTTTGTATAAAATTGGCATTGAGTAGGGTAAAACCTCAATATAATTGTTTCTAAGGGCAGGAGAACAGTGCATAGGTGAGAATGAATGTAAAGAAAAATGGGGATTCTCAAGGATGCTGAAGATTTAGATGGAATACCAATGACTGACTTAATCTGCATCCTGTGTTTGTTTTCTGGAAAAATGCTTTTTTAGTTAACATAGTCCCTTCCAAACCCCTCTGTTAGATGTTATGCAGGGTATAACTTTTTTGTTGTATGGTCTATTTCTTTAACAGGGTTTTAATGACTTGCCAATATGCATGGCCAAGACTCATTTGTCACTCTCTCATGACCCTGAGTTGAAAGGATGTCCCAAAGGTGTGTAGAACTATAAATGTCTTGCACTTCTGTCATACCTGACTTCAGGTTGCTTCAATCTGTAAACTCACCTTGGGATAACTTTGTAAGATGAAGTCTCTGGCCAGCCTTGTCTCCAGTATCTCTCCTCTTGTAACTCAACCTTCTTTCAATTGCATCCATTGCTTCTTTTGTCCTGCCCCCCCTGGATAGAGAAAGAGGGGAAGGAGGAAGAGAGGGGTATTCCGCTCCTCTTGGGGTATTAGAGAAAAGCAACCATGAGAATTGTTTCTCTCATTGTACTGAACACTTATCCTTTGCAGGATACCCTTAGCAGTTTAAAGAGTTTTCCTGACAGGTGTACTGTTATTCAATGTACACTCCTGGGGATAGTTGTTCGAAGGCCAAGTAGCATAACCCAGAATTAACTTTTTATCTGGGTTTCTTTATTCCTTTTTTGAGAGGCCTTTTTGGGATAAATTTTTGGGGGGAGAGAGGAGGGAGGAGTTATCATGCCTACATCTCCAACCATCACTTTCAGGAAGACAATCTGCTGGCCTAGCATGATACTTTAAATTCCTTGCCTTCATTAATTCAATTTCTTATACATGTTTTCTGTTTTGCAGGCTTTGTCCTTCCCATCCGTGATGTTCGAGCAAGTGTTGGAGCAGGGTTTCTTTATCCATTGGTTGGCACTGTATGTATTTTTTTAACATATTTCATTACATCTCTTCTTTGCAACTGCTATTTGGGCTTGTCGCAACATGCCCACAGGGAGGGTGTGTGTTGCATGACAAGTACAAAGCCATATGCTGTGGCCTGTATTGCACATTACTGCATCTGCTGGTAGTTTTGTGTCCGCTTTGAAGTAATGAGAGGTAAAGCCACAAATTTTCATCCCCAACCTCTCCTGGCTTCACTGCTTGACCCTTCAGAGAGTACTTAAAACTGCCAGCCATGCAGACTAAGGAGACAGCTTTCCTCCAAGGATGATATGGTAAGAAAGCCCTCCATTACCTTTCACATGGCATTCCAGCTCAGTAAAACAAACTGTTATTATTTTTGTGTGTTTTTTTTTCTTTGAACGTTGCAGATGAGTACCATGCCAGGCTTACCTACAAGACCTTGCTTCTACGATATAGACTTGGACCCAGTCACAGAAGAGGTGCTTGGGCTGTTTTAGGCCTCCACATACCAGATTTCTTAGCAACAAAGGGAACATACTGTTTAAGATTTATAGCTTACAATGTAAGGTTTAATTTGCTGACCTCAACTGCCCCCCCCCCCAAAAGAAAATGGAATGTGCCATGTGATTGAGTAGGTAATACCACTGACCAAGAAATGAAGGCTCAATCAAACATGCCAACTAGCTGTATTTTCATACATCACATAATATTAAGTCATTAAATTGTGTTAAAAGCCTTTTATTCCCATTTTCTTGTTGACCATATATTACTTCTCTCAGCTAAAAACTCTTGTTAGTTTGTGTAAGAAAGTTTGCCATGCTCTCTAGAGAAGTGCACATGATTATTCCAAATAAACCAAGGGAAAAAACGCTGAAAATTTTATTTCATGCCTCAGCGAAAACAATTCTTTTTAAGCTGATAAGGTATCCAAACAACCTCCAAGGTCCAGGTTCCTTTTTTTGTAAAACCCTAGCTTTAAATGCTGAGTGACCCAGCATGTAAATTCTCCTCACAGTAATACAGCTGAATCTATCATTAAGATCAGGAGAATAAAGGAAATGATCACCAACCAAGGAAGCTTTGATTGCTTAACAAATTCTCCTTTTCAGTTCAAGAGGAAATGTATAGAGATAGTATGGAGAATGTGGATACTGATGTTAGGGTGTGAAGGGTTATTGTGTGTAGTCAAGTGAGAATGCAGAAAATTTTAACTAGGAAAATTTATCTTATTAGTATAGGTAATAACACAATTTTGAATGCAATTTGGTATGAATAAGCACAGGCAAATTTTTCAAAGACAACAAAATTGCATGGGCCTGTAGGGCAAGCGCAATTTGTAGGCTGAAAAATTTACATTAGTGCTTATTACACCAAATTATGCAAGAAATCATGTTATTACCTGTTGATAATGTACATGAAAAAACCTTGAGGCAAGACAGACAAAATATTTTGAAAGGGTGTGTGTTTCATGCATTTGCAATCATGTTGCATGAGGATGCACTCATTTTTTCACGCAGAATTATTGGATGAGGGTGCTCAGTCAAGGGGGGCACTAGAGGTTTCATTTCAAAGAGCTTAAACTTTGTTTTAGCTAAATCTTTAAGAGAAAGACAACTTTTGTTAACATTGTCCTCTTTGATGTGAAGTCAATATGGAGATAGAACAGTAAATGGAAGTCATTTTTCAGATAAGAAACTATTCTTCTGTACTGAATCCTCTAGTTGAGTTAAAAGTTAAAAATAAAGTCCAACTGGCAATAGAAATGGGATTTTGTGTCCTGATTATTTAACCCTTGAACTCCCAAGATCTCATCAGTAATTCCCCTTACTGTCTGCCAAATGATTCTCATTGTGTTGGTTTGGAGAATTTGGTATCGGATCAATCAGTAATTCTAGCTATGATTGATATTCTTTATTCTCACAACTTGTCTAAATGATGTTGTATAGATATAGTAAGGAGAAATCCTGTCTTGGTCACTCATGGGAGTTAAAGGGTTGAGAAAGTGAAGGAGGAGAGGGGAGACTCATGTGAGAGGTCTGCTTGTTTGATGTAAGGGCCCAGGAGTTGGGTGCTCATTTGTGGGAGGGTGTTTAATCATGTAGATTGAGGGCACTTATTGGAGGAAATACTCAATTCAAAATGGGAGTGCCTGCTCAACTTCTCCCTGTCCCCCTCCCTGCCCATCCCAGATGGGTGCAAATGAACCCCACTGAGATTTACAACAAAGAAAGTGGTTTTACATTAACTTTAATGTTTAATTTGTTAAATACACAAAAGATTACTGTAACTTTACAAGCTCAGTAAATTTAACTTTCTTCTTACAATACCGTATTTACCCGTGTATAATGCGCACTTTTTTTTCCATAAAAACCACAGGCGGCCCAAGCTCCAGCTGTGAGATGATCATCTTGCGCAATAACAGTCATGACGGAATTATAAGAGTTTGTATGGGCATATTTACGACCGCTCTAAGGTATAAAATAATACGTCAAATTCTCAAAAAAAATACCTCACCTTACTTTCACAGTGTGTCGCTTGTTATCTGACCGCTTACTTTGATGAAAAGAGCCCATTTAAGCGAGTTGTTTATTTCGAGGTTTTCAACGTACATAAGAAAAGCCCAAGGCTGAACACTCCATTTCCGAACGCCTGATCCGAGAAGCGAAAAATCCAAGCTCAAAATGATCGGGCGCCCACAAATCCAACGCAGAATCCAAGCACATATACTGTAGTTTCATAAGAATTCACTAAAAACTCAATCTTCCCCGTGCAACCGACACTAAGTCGCAGTTTGCTTCAAAAATTTCCGGTTTAGAAGTTTCTAACAGCCCGCGGCCACATCAACCTTGACACACGACCGTTGAAAACCAGCTCGGTAACCCTACCTCCTTTTTGAACTGAGCCTCGCCGGAGACCATACCGTCAGTTATCGTCTATAAATTGTTTTAGAACCACGGGTCCCCTCAGTAGAAATCGATCAAGAGGCTATTGTTTCGATCGGCCAATCGGCCAATGATTATTTTCGGAGTCAGAGGAAAACCTTGGAAGGATTTGTTCCAGTATTCAATTTAGCTCTATCTGGACATACTTAGTTTAATGTTGCTAACAAGACAACTGTTATTTCGTTTCGTCCGCACGGATATCCAGCAACAATACTTACCACGATATCCATTTCAGATACGAGTTCGAATTGATTACGTCCCTGCTGCAACCGTGGAATAGCCAATTTTTTACCGAGGACATTTTTTCTTTTTGAAATTGAAAGGAAATTATCGAGATTTACGAGATCAGCTGTGCGGTTTGCAACTATGCCTGAATATTATTTTGAATTTGTAAACATTTCCAGAGGCGAATTCGATTGGCCGATCGAAACAATAGCCTCTTGATCGATTTCTACTAATTTTCTACTGATTTCTACGATTTTCTACTTCTAATGTGTAAAAACAAGCATCAAAATCGCGGTGCGTATTATACACGGATTCTATTGTTTGTCAAGCACGTCCTAATTTGCATATGTTAAAAACGCAACAAAGAAAGTAAAAGTGCACGGATCGATGGCCTGGGGAGGAGAAAGAGCTTGCTTATTTACGACTCATTTGAAGCTCACGTGACAGATACTGTGAACACTTCCTTCAAACGCGAACTTCCCTTCTCCAGCCGCTCGATGTATCTTTGAACAAACCATTTAGAGATGGAGTCCGAAAGGAGTGGATGGCTGATGGAATTCACGAACTTACTGGACGACAAAAAAAAGACTTCGGAGGAACTGATCTGTTCGTATATTTCACAAGCGTAGGAAGGCATTCCATCAGAAATGATCGCTGCCTCTCTCTGAAGTGTGGGATCACAAACAATTCGAATGAATCACAAGATGAATTGGTTTACAATTCAACTGAGATCACTGATGAACTTGAGGATTCAGTCATCGAAACCTATTCGAATCGGACTGTGAGTCGGAATTTGAAGGTTTCGTTGTTTAAAGACACTGAACATTTTACTTAAATCACGCAATTGCAATGCAGTAATTATATTCAAGCTACCAGCAGTACTGTGAGTAGAAATAATGTTTATGAACGGCTGTTATGATAATAATTCAAGTTGTGAATTTAGGTATATTAATAAGGACTTCAAGTTACAACATTTATAAAACGTTTGACTGTTACTGAATAAAAAAGCTTGTAAATAGGTGCTCGGTGCGTGCGATATTTGTAGTAGCAACTAGTTAGAAATTGTTGTGAATTCCCAGCTCTTGTTAATTAAGTGAAAAAATGGAAGTTTTAATTCTTGGTATTTGTCATGAAATCTTTTTTTCGGAAAAAAGAGGTCAAAAATTAGGGTGTGTATTATACACGGGCGCGCATTATACACGGGTAAATACGGTATCTCATTTTTTTAATTTAACATTTGCTATACAAGGTTTACAAATTCTAGAAAAGTTAATTTTAAAAGTACTGTTAAACAATTTGATTATCACCTGATTTCCATTGTTTGACAATTGATCAGGGTAAAGTGAAAACTGGCTTAATAAAAATTAAGAATTTAATGAATAATGTAAAACAATGTAGTCAAATTTCATTTTTCTTGTCAGATTGAAAGGACATCTGTTAAGTTTTTGCTTTTTAATATTGTCAACAAAAAAATAAGAACTGTTTGGAATACTGTAGAATTTGTTTTGGCCTTCAGAAACAAGCATGATAAACTTAACTTTCTCCTTGAATCTATTTATAAAAGCTATCTATAAAAATTTTATTAACTCTAAATGTGAACTTTTTCTGTGAAAAATGTACATTATTGGCTAGTGATTTATATTGCTTGATGGTTGATGAGGACAAACTTAAATAAATTATCATGCAAAGAAATTGAAAATAAATAATCTAATTCAGCCCACATCCAATTGGTCTTGAGATACAATTCATTTTACTGTTTTATGTGACCACTGTAATGGGAGCTGTTGATCGAAAGCCAAGACTTAGGTCACAGTTGTCAAGTAGGGGGACTGATGTGAACAGCTAGCCTAGATTAAAGATAAAAACAATACTACTGTGCATTTGGAGTTCCATCACAAAATAAATAAACAAATGAACTATGATCTGTTAATTCCAATGCAATGGAATAATGTTTTCATTACTGGGCATGTCCAAGTCCAAAACTAAGAAACCTACAGTATCTCCTCAATTACCACCCAACCATAACTTAAATGAAAAGTGAGCATCAAAAAAACCAAATAAATTTATCTCCTCTGTTAAAAAATGTGTATCCCTTTCTGTGATTCCAAACAATGACTTGACCATGGTGTTAAACATCTTTTAGAGAAAAATTAGTCACCTGGTCCTGAAAAAAAAAAAAAACATACAGTTGAGTCTTGAGCACTTCTTGAATGTGTAGCTGCTAAATGTTTGAAAAGATTACCAAGAGTGGCCAGAAAGAGAAAGACCCTGTCACACAACAAAAATGCCAGAATTAAAAAGATTTGGTTATTCTTTGAAATCTCGATACCCCTTACTTAAATTCAATTTTTATACACCATGGTTCCCTTGTGCTAATCACGCTTGTGATTTTCTGATTTCCCAAGAGGGTTACAGTTACTCAGTGCCATCAACGTCCAGCTTTTGTTCATGATCTGAACATGGCTAAAGCCTGTGGTCTGATTGAGGCCACAGGCTCCTTCCATAAAATTTGCTGTTAGCCCTCTGCTAGTTACTGAGAACTCAATGGATTTTGTTCTCTGGATGTATAACAAAGCATGTAATGTCTGATCTCTGGGAAACAGTTCCCTTTTGTTTACTCTCGAGTCTTCATGTTTCTCTCACCTTCAACTTAGGAAACATTGAGACTGAAGGGGAAAACAGAGGTGTTTCCCAAGGGACTAGACTTAAGTGTGTATCATATAAATGTTCTTTTCATTGACGGATTCTCAAAATCTCGTGATATCCATGAAACGATACTCCCTTTCCCTTAACATTTAGTTAAAAAAAAAACCATGGCAAATGTTTGGTTTTAACAATGTATGATCCCAACATTCTAAGGTCGCTTTAGGCCGCATTGAGCAGTGAAAAATTTATCCCAACTTAGACACCGAATATCTTCAGTGTTACCTCGGTTGAGCAGTGAAAAATTTACCCCAACTTAGAAACCGAATATCTCCAGTATTACCTCGATCCAGGAGTTACCATTTACTGTGAGCAACGTTTATTCACAGATGAACAGATTTCATAAAAAAAAAAATGGGGGAAATGAAATGGTCAAGGAAAAAAAATTATCAACCCGTATTGACCTGGCTATGTTCGGGACCTGGTCCTATAAAGCTCTTAAATCAATTTACGATCAGAAAAAAACGGTTAAAGTACATTTATCGCCCGGAAAGTGTCCTAATAGTATGGAAATATCTTTTGATTTAGCATAAATGCGATGATATTCAAGCAAAATTGTTGCAATGGTTTGATTTTAGGTAACTAATTGAATTTAAACAAGCCACGCGCAATTACGCTCAGTGTTTAATTCACTTACCGTTTTGAGAACAAAGGATTTTGTGAAAGGAAAATTCTTATCAATTCTTATATACTATTGGTGATAGTAGTTGGTCATTTTTTAAATTAAATCGCTGCAAACTCAAGATTAATGATACAGTACTTACAGGTCACGCAACTGGTTTAGTGGATAATATGCAAATTCAACATGTTTTCCAACAGGAGTCAGTTTACCATTTCCTCAAGTTTGCAGCACAAGAAAAACCCAACCTTTGGCAAGTCCATTAGAGTAATTTTCATTTATATCAAAAGTAAGCCTTAAATACCAACGTAATACACTCTAGCAGTAACCACACACACGAAACGGAATGTGGCTTGAGATAGACAATCAACTTGGACTCGTGAAAATGCTCAAGCAATCAAGTTTATTCTTGAGTCTAATAAAAGTGGAAATTTATTACTTTATTTGAGGATCCTGTTTAGATAAGGTTAGTAGTTGTTTTTATCATTTTACTCTCCTTCATACTTCTTTGATAATTTTGCCCACAACAAGTACAAAAGTTGAAATTTGTTTTGATTTTGTAGCGAACACTTAGATGTTGGTTTCGTCGAGGTAAATTATTGGAAAAGTTCTCGTTTTTAACAGAAAGCCAAATTTATTATGTCAGTGATTAACTTCCCTTTTACCTCAGTTTATTTTCTAGTTCTTTGCATAAAGAGAATGCTTTAAAATGATATTGGTAAAGTGCGGTTTGTACTCGAGACATAAAGCCTCATTTATGGGGCTTAGACGTCGTTGATGCGTCTTTGAGAAGCGAAATTCAGTCACTGTGGGCTAGAGTAGGGACTGAGACAAATTTCATGCTTATGCATCGATCAATTCGAAACTTCAACTTCCCTCCCGTGGAAATTGAACTCTTGAAAATTAGTTCTTCAAATTCCAACCCATGGAGCCAAAATTATGTTCAAGTGCCCTACCCAAGTTCATTTTTTTCTTTGAAAAGGGAAAACTCGGGCAACTCACGGGTATTTTACTGTCGTCCGTGCCTGGGGAATGGGAAATTTGAACCTTACGTGGCTGGGGTGGGGAATTTGAACCGGAAATGCAAGTCTTTCTAGAGGGCTAAAGAAATAAAGGTCTGTAAGGTCTAGAGTTTTAAAGCTCGGTAAATGAGTGGAAAGTCACGGATTGGAATTTGTTTTGTCGATTTGACAAACTTTTTGAAAGCGATTTTTCTAAATGATATCGATTCTGAATATTTTTTTGGATTTACAAAATATTTTTGGATTGTCCCTTTTCGGCTTCTGTACCTGTCTTATTGCCATCAAAAGATACGTGAAATATGGTTTCTTCCGTTTTCGCTACAACCGACAGTTCAGTGATGAACAAGGATTCAATTCGAATTCATAGTTTCGTTTTTCACATAGATTAGGTGTACAGCTTGTTTAAGGCCATCGAAAGAAGTTTTAAAAACTCAATTAGCGATTGCGCGCGCATTCCAACGAGGTGACGTTTATTTCAAACAAAACTCAATTCATGTCTGTGCCTTTAATGAGGGCGCTTCACGTGTACATTTTGCGCTCACCGCTGGTGAAAAAAAGGAAGGAAAGGAAGTATCCCGAAAGGTTGAGTTTCCTTTATACTGATAAGAACACTGAAACATACGAAAATTAAATTAAGACCCACTCAAAAACATGATGTAATTTACTTAATATCTAACGAAGAATAGCTAGACCGTTGGCGTGACAAGGAGGATCAACTGCAAATGTTGCTTACAGGCTCAGATTTTGAGCAAGTCACCAATCACCACCAAACAAACCAGGTTGGAATTCGCAAGAATCTTTTCTTTTTCGAAATTTTCGTTCTCAAAACGGTATGCGAAATCAACCTTTCCGAGCGTTAATACCGGATCGATTGTTTACATTCATTAGGTAACCAAATATTTATCCCATTGCAACAATGTCGCCCAGACATATTTGCTTTTGCCCAAAATCAACAGTTACTTCCGTAATATTAGGAAAACTTCTGGAATTTGCTTTCACTCTGGACGAAATGAGTACTTGGACTTTATTTCTGATCGGTTAGCTGCTTTAGGAGCTGGTCCCAAATAAAGCTAATTCATCATAGATTAACAACTTTTCTCCTTTGACCTTGACATTTCCCCCATTTTTTATTAATGGAATCAATTCGTCCATAAACAAAGATTGTTCCATATAAATGGCAACTTCTGGATCGAGGTAACATTGGAGATATCAGGCTAACAAGTTGGGGTAAATCTTTTACTGTTCAAGGCGGCGCAAAACGACCTTCGAACATTGAGATAACCTGTGATCAAAACCTGTTATCTCCCACATTTTTTCCAGTAAATGTTAAGAAAAAGGATAGATCTTTTCATATATTTCAAGAGATTTTAGGAAATCGTTACGACAGTACTGAAGTCGAAGTCATAAGAACACCTTCGATAGGCCATATTGGCAGGCAAGTATGGGCGGACTTGGTCGGCTTTAACGATTTTTTGCCAAGCAAAAACAACTGGAACTTTTTAATACCCAATTCGTGGTTATGACTCTAAAATTAGCCATCATACCAAATTTCAGCCAAATCGATAATGTTAAGTGGCCGCGATTTTTTTAAAAAGTTCGAAAGTTAAAGGCTACTGCTCTTAAGTATGTTACGTACCAAAAGATACCTACTGGTACCTGACTCTGCCATTTAGAGACTGACTGAGACCATGGAGCTTTGACTTCCATTTTGGAGCTGTCTCCTGTTGTAAGCCTCGCCATTTGGTTTCCTTAAAGCTTTTTCAAGCTTTTCCCAGAAGTAAGGTTTCACATTGCAGTTTTCCCAATCCAGGTAGGTTGTGTCTTGAAGAGCAAATGGTATTTCACAGTTCTTGTACATAACTGGTACAACCTGATGATATCGCACCCTGGCAAGCGCCTTGTGTAGCTCATGTGTACACCAATCACTCTTGATGAAATCTGGGGAAAGTACTGCAATTGTTTTTTTACTGTAGCAAATTGCTTCAGTGATATTTTCCATTATTGGTGCTCCAATAGCAAAATTCTTAAAATCAATACAGCACTTGAAACCTCGGTTTTCAAGCTCAGCATGAAGTTCTTTCACCCAGCCAACATCTTTGTAACAATAGCATATAAACACGTCATGCCTTGGTTCATAATCTGAAACAAAATCAAACCAGTTGTCATGTTCCAACCAGGCTTTTGATAAATGTACAACTCATGCTAAGCAACAGCTTTTTTATTTTGAAGTGTTATGTTCCGCTCACAAAGGAAGAAGGGAATGAGCAAAGTAAAAACAAAGAATGAAAAAACACAGGTATAATGATGCAACATTAATCCTTTAACTCCCATGAGTGACCAACACAGAATTTCTCCTTACAATATCAATACAATAACAACCAAATAAGTGATGAGAATAAAGAAAAATATCAATTTGGGGATAATTAGTTGATCCAATACTAAATTCTCTGAACTAACATTATATGAATTGCCTGGTTGACAGTAAGGAAAATTTGAAATTGGATCTGGGAGTTAAAGGGTTAATGTAGTGAAATAAAATGAATATGATTCAATTAAACATCTTAAACTTAAACAAGACAAACTTGCACATGGTTGGACTGACATATGGCAAAGAATACAGTAGCTGTTTTAGTATATTGAATGAAAATTCCTGAAAGGGGGCTTTCATTTAAGTATTATCTCTGCTAAGTCATCAGCTGGGTATAGATTAGATTGTTGTAATAAACATTGCAAAATAAAAGTTACTGAATACCTTTTTCTGGCGACTGTCTCAAAACTTCAGCACACTCAGCATTCTCTATATCTCCATTCTCACCTAACATTTGCTGGCATATGAAACACTCTGAATTATGGCTGTGTCTTGCAGAAGAGAACCACAGCCAACGTTTCTTCTTTGCGATAAATGATAGAAATGCTACAACCATGATAAAAACTACACCACCAACCACACCTGTGGCAATCTTGGTGACATCTTGTGATGTTGAAGTCAACACTGGTTAAAAGTAAAATAAGTTATTTGAACTACACAGGTCAAAAAAACATATACATATATGAAATTCAGATCTCAAGATACCATTCAAAGGCAAAACAAAAAGACCCAAGCACAAGCAGACCTCTCTAACTTTGATTTAGGGATCCATGCAGTACCTTTTCTTGTACTACTTGGATCTTCTCCTGGACACTCAGTTTCATTTACATTTGGTCGTACACCACTTGGATTCTTTGATGAATTAGTAAAGAAAGGACATGGTTTACAGGCTTGTTCAGATGTTTCGCCAATGTTTGGCTGGTATGTTCCTTGAGGACATGGAATGCGACCATGTCTTCCTGGAGGGCAATAAAAACCTGCTGAACATGGTCCTGCAATATAATTCAAAACAACAGTTGCCTATAGCTTGTATGTTCTGTTTTCCCAATGTACACAATTTACAAAAGATAAAGGAGGGAATTTCCTTGAGCTCCATTGGGGAAAATAAAACACAAGCTGAAAAGATATATCTGCATGGCTCTAAGCTAAACCTTATATAACCACACAATTTGATGGCCAGAAAAAAACAGTTGATTAGTCCCTGAAAATAAAATATTAATTCACAGAAAGAAAAGTGTACCTGAGAATTCAAGGAGAAGGAAATAAATTCATTTAAGACAACAATGAGAATGTTTTTCTCATTTGACCCCGGAGCATTAACTTGAAGTAATCAAAACATCACAACCTCCTTCAAATCATTCAAACACAGGTTCCCAAATTGGCACCTGACTCACTACAAACTTGGAAACCAAAATTTTTTTCTCAATAGAAATCTTGAGCTTGCATATTTGTTTAACAATTTCAAGCCTCAGGAGAATTTCCCATGGCTTTATCATTTCTAAATTATGCATACAGTACATACATTCATGTATATATGCACATAAATAAGAGGAAAGTTGAAAGAAACATCAGTTCTCCAGGAAAATAATATTATCACACAACCTGAAATGAGGAAACAAAACATAAAAGCTACAAAAGTCTCCTGGGGTGCTGATTTGTGGAACCAAAAGTGTGAACTTCAAATGACAGAAGAAAATTTGATCCTATGTCCATGCATGAATCATAAATATCATAACATTTTGTAATGCAGCTGGAAGACACAGATAATAAATCAACTCACAAGATTTACAAATTTAAATCGGTTCTCTACATAGTCATCACAAGTATGAATGAGTCAATCTTATCTTATAAGACCATTAACTTCAAGCATGACAAAAATGAATACCAACACACTCACGAAAACAGCTGATGAGAAGATATAATTAATATTAATAGCAAAACATTAAGTAGAGAGTACTATTTTGCAATTATGTATTTCTGGAGGGAAGCAGAATATGATTGGGGGTTCATAAAAACTAGCAGGTGATACATCACCACACAGAGTAGATGGTACAGTACAAAAAAATACTAAATGAATGCAAGAAAGAGTAATTTACCATACCAACTTCAAGAAGAAATGTTTCCCTTGATTCCTGTTCAGATTTGAGAGCAAGACAAGTGTAGTTTCCTGCATCTTCCATGGTGACATTCTTAATTTCCAGATAAAAAACAAAGTTCTTAGGCATATCTTTTTTTCCTAAATAGAAATATTTATACTTCAGTGGTTCACCAGACTCAGTTATCCTTTCATTGTTCTTCAAAAATGTACCACTCATATCAAAAAAGCCTTGTAAACTGCAAGTTATGTTGACTGTGGTTCCAATGTAGGCTGTGTCCCCATGCTCAAGTTTTGCGTATTCTATAACTGGGGGACCTTTAACTAAAAATTAAAATAGACAACTTTGTAAGAATAAATTGTTACTGCAACCTTTTCCTTGTACTCGAAGCCAAGTCAGTGTATTCAATTATAATAGATTTCATTGTATTTAATCCTGCAGTTCCAGTCTATCTGCACCAACAAGAGGTTTTATAATCAAATTTAAAGATGTTTTACAAGCTATTTTAATTTGTTCACTCTTCTACATTCATGGTTCTAAAAGATTGCATTAAAAACCTATAGCCTGTACAGCAAGGTCAATGCAGAAGGTTGGTACAAAAATTCCATTCTCAACTCAACCCTATGGCTTTCAATGTTTCAACCAACAATTAAATGTAATTTACCAAAATATGGCTCTCTCACAAAATTTTACCCAGCAAAATATAAAGGAATAGTCTATACCCCAGTACTAAATTATACAGTGGTAAAAAAAAAAATCAAAAGAAAAATATATCAAATCTGCATCAATTTATTTTAAAAATTTTTTCTTAATGTCTGTACCTTTTTTCAGGTCCTTAGAATAACTTTCCTTATTTCTCTACTTTTTCACAAATTCCATCATCCAGCTGAATGCACAGAAGACATCGTAACTTATTTAATGTCTTAGGAGATACAATATGTGGCCAATTACCCCTGCCACAATAATTACCCTATTTGCTGAAAGGTCTGCCAAAATTTCTTGCTGTTTTTCACCCAAAATCTACTGTCATCCATCTCCAACTATTCTTTGCTTTCTCAGGCAAAGAAGACATCAAATCTTGTGTTTGGTCAAATTCTATGTTGAAGTGTGGCAATGAAGTGCATCAATTTAAAATTTACTAGTTTTCTTTTAAATGTCTTATGATATGATTTCATATGATTGAAGACAACAGTTTCCTAAACCAGTCAAACACAATAGAGAGATAACTCTAAGTATAACACTTGACCCTGTTCAGTCTGCACCATAATTTAAGGATAATAGTTTTTCCTTTCAATTTAGGGCAAGCTGGCAGCTACAGGCATGTGTTATACTTGGGTCTTAGTGGTGAGGGGGGAAAACCTTGCTCTAAAGATTATACTACAGACCTCAGGCATGGTTACTTACCTCTCACGAGCAACTTAACAGTATCTGAATAATTTTTCCCCTTCTCGTTTGTCACAACACATGTGTAGTTTCCTTCATCCTTTTGTGAAATGTCATTGACCTCTAAATTTCGATTGCAGGAAGCAAGTTTGTATTTCCAATTTTTTCCATCCAGAGAAATAAGTTTGCCATTAATCAGCCATGTTACATTTGCCGAAAAATTTGAATAGACCTGGCATTCAAATGTGTAACTGCCATCCAAACCTCTTGTTATGGAAGATCTAGGGCTCATTTTTACATAGGGGTCTGCATCATCTGAGGGGTGAGGGGATCCTGGAATGATTCCATTATTACAATTTCCTGTGTCACGTCTGTGCCTCTTTGATGAAAAGTACACTAAATTAAAAGACAATCAATCAATTAATCATTAATAAGTTTGTGAACTGGATATTTTGCAAATAACTGAATGATTTAATATTATTTCAAACTAAAAAAGAGTTGGTTCTGATAATGTATGAAGTTAATAACCACAGGTTACCCTGACTTTGCTTGAATATCCACAATTAATGACACAATTCAAAAGCCTAGGCTGCTCAATAAACCCATCTTTGTAGTATTGAATATAACTGTTGCAATTACTCTTTACATACAACATACCCTATCAGAAATAATATATTTCAACAATACCCTTTAAAAGATTTGTTGAATCACTTTTTGCTGATTGGACATGCACATGACCAAGATTGTTACAAAATACACAAGGCAGCAGTTTGATATTCACACTTGTCATTTCAGTGGAGCTAGTGTTTCATGGCTACTTATCATGTTTGCCATGGCAAAAAAAATAACATGTTATTTGATACATGCTATGATGTAGACAGAAAAGGAATAAGTTCTGCTGTAAGAAACCAAAGATTTGGGGGCAAACTGGTGAAGGTGAGGGCAAACTCACTTTCCTTCAAGGGTGAACTCTTAAAGGTGGTAGGGGGAAACTTGCAATAGGCAAAACCTCCAGATACCTCTAAGATTGAAAAGCTTCTAAACTGCTTGATCAGAGACAAAGAGACTAAGGTCATAGGAGGAAAGGAAACAACTGCCAACTTCAGAAAGATCTTGAACATTAAGCAAATTCTCCTTGTCGGGGTTTTAACCATTTATCACCTTGAAGTGAAAACATGTAATTTCACTATATGATTCCTATAATATGTTGTCTTGCAAACAAGCCAAGAGAACCAACAAGCTAATTGGCTACACGACAATTTCTGCTTTGCCTAGTACACAGGAAATATTGGCAGTCAGTAGGAAGAATTACTGATTGGATCTAGGGAGTTAAAGGTTTTAAACACCACTGTGCACATGTTCACTTTCCTTGGGCATCCTCTCCAGGGAGATATTAGGGCCCAAGAGAACAGGCTGAACGAAAATTAAAGCTTCTTAAAGGAAAAGAGCATACGAATTGGTTTGTGCATTTTTACAAAGAATAGATTGGGTCACTCAACCAACCTTACTCCTGCATTTGCATTGTACAAGAGGTATATAAGAACAATGAATGCCTCTCCACTTTCATTTATGATATTGAAATGTTTAATATTTCACTATGTGAAGAGCTGGTTATAGTCTTGAATCACAATAACAATCCAAAGAGGGTGTGACAAGCAGCCATACTGTAAGTCAGATATCTTGTTTGCAAATTGTGCCAGCAAATTCACCACAGCAATAAATTTGGGAATAAAAGTTTTGCATGTATGTAAATGAAACTGCTATACAAAGAACTCTTTAACCCTTTAACTCTCAAGATCTAATTGAAGATTCTCCCCTTAGTAACAAGAATTTAATGTTAGATCAGGATTACAAAGACCCTGAATTATCAGTAAACTTTTAAAGCTGATTGTGCTGAGTGTAAGCTTCACATAAAATAGAGTATTGTATGGTATCTCATAACCTGTTTGCTGAGTAATGTATGAATATTGTGGGGAGAAGTTACATGTTGAACACTTCTGGGAGTTACAGGGTTAAAAAAGGCCTTAAATCTGATAGGGATGAGGCAATTTACCTTATCTCCATTATCATCATTCATCTTTTTTTTACTGCAATTCCTTAAGCATTACTTTCTTGCGAAGGCTTTGAAGTGACATCAAATCAATAATAAATCTCGGAACTATAATTTGAAAGCGGAAGTTTCAAGGTGAAATAAAATTTACTGTAACTTCTCGATAGGACTAAAGGGAGGCGTAAAATGAGTCCTTGGAGTCTATGCCTCACTACTGCAGTGAAATGGTAATCCTCCTCCTCCATCACTAACTTTTCCAATTCACAACTAATTGGGTAATAGAGTCCACTCTGACAGAGGTTATCACAAGAGATCTCCACAAAGCTAAGCTTAACAAATAACATTAGAGTAGCTCCGTAATTTTAACATAAAACTTAAATTGCACCGAAATTGCAACAAGCTCACCTTTTCCACACTCCTCTAGGTAAAAAGCTTTCCCTGGGCAAACAGAAAGTTTTGGATCGTTTTGATCACTACACGTTACCACAAGCACATGGCCACTCACTCCTCGCCTGTCAGTGCAAGGACAAAATACCGTTTGGTTACGGCATTGCGATCTCTGTTCCCGTTGTTCCGATAAAGCAGAGGTAAATTCCACTCCGCACAATACAAAAAGTAATAGAAGTTCCTTCGCAAGCATCGATCGGTTCACGTGTCTAGATCTTAGCAAAACTTCTCGGAATTACTGGTAAGACTGGGCCTGCTAGAATTTCGAAATAGTTTTAGATGAAAACTTGCGTCTTCGTAGAGGAATCCTGTTAACAATTGCAAAATATAGTTTCCTCTTTGGGATCTGAAGAAAAAATGCTTACAACGGTGATGGCGGAAGAAAACCAAGCGAAAGTAGCAAAGTGTAGGTTTCTCAGCACGTTATATGAATACTCTTCTAGAAGGGCCTGGTACCAAGGTACGTACTGGGACGATGAACAACAAACTTTCACCAGCTTGTCCGCACTTTGAAAGAGATCAGCAATACGACTTTTGCAATGAGCGACACAAACACAGAACTGACGAGAAATCGAAGAAGTAAGACAATAAATAAATGTCTTAGGCGGGACCGGAAATCTGTCTACTTCTCTAAGGATGGGCCAGAGGGTGTGTATGTGTGCGTACTTGTTGCAAAACCAGCAAAGTAGCTGGAAATAACGGATGCGATGCTGCCTTTTTTACCATTCGAAAACAAAACTATTCCTCAATTTTCTTCATAAGCAGAATCGAAAATGGTCGAAAACATATGACATGGAAACATCTGTGTTTGTTTTTTTTAGATCAGTCTCTCTTGTTTTCGACCGCCGATTATTTTGCTGTCCTCCGACGAAAGAAACGCTTGAAAGCAGGCTGAAATTACCGGAAAGCCCCTCCTTACGCTCAAGCAATATCACTTAACGATTATTTTAAATATGCAGTTCACTTCCGTTGAGTTAAGCTACGACTTCCCGTCAATGTACACTTTCTCACAGTCTTCTCATGAGAGAAGAACTTCCATACCCTTCCTTAACTTTTCCACGATCTTTTAGCTCAAAGGCAAGAGTATAACAACGAAGTAAGACAGGTCAGTAGAAATTCGCCTCAGCGACAAATGTTTGGAAACCAGAAAAATTAGAAGGTGACCCTTTCACAGCAGCAACTACACGTTCGAAAATTCTCAGAGGATACCTTGTATTGAAAAGAAAATTGGAAAATTTGATCACTTTTACGGTTGTATAACCATCTCTTGACGAAAACAACTTTTTGATAGTTTACTGTATGGTGACCAGTATTGCGAGCAGGACAGAGAGTTATCTGGTGGATAACGCTTTCGAGCCTTCGAACAACCGAAGGCAGGTATTTCTATCCCATCGATATCTTTCAAAATATTTAAGTTGGAATGTAAGTGTCAGATATTTTGTTTCTTCCCGAAAAGAACATAGATTCCGTTGACTCCTAGTTTGAAATACTGATAACTTGAAAATCCGTCAGATCGAATAATATTCAGACCCCCCGGGTCATTTTTTCAGTTACAACTCTACCCTCTGTGATTTACTACTAATTAAAAGCACAGCGTTTTCATATTTTCAGATCTACTGTTTCTTAGCCCAGAACGCGGAAATTGTTTCCGATTATCACTTCCCTACCTTCTGGAAGAAAAAAAAAACCGTCGCCGTTGGGAACAGGTAAGTTCGGACGACCACAACAAATCATATAATAAATTTGAATCCTCTTTATTGTTCTTGATACTTGATTCAGACCTTGATTTTAATCGCAGTCGTACAGCTTGATTATTCGATCTAGGAAAGTCGAAAAACGGATGTTGATTCGAACGGATGTGGTCTTGACGTGACTAGGAATCCATGCAGAAAAAGGAAACTATAAATTAGCATAATCACAGTAATCAAAACTTACTTCCGTGACAGATCGGATCGTAATTCGCAGACTTACAGCTCAGGCAAGTCTAATTTATTATTAAACCTTAAACCCTTAAGAGTGACTGGCAGCTAATTTCTCCTTACAATATCACCTCTGAATAATCACACTTTAGGTCATGAGAATAAAGGAAATGATCATCAACGAAGGAAAGATAACAACCTATTTCTATCGCATCTACGAAAATATCTAAGTTGGGATTGGGTGTCGGCTGTTTTGTTTTCCTCGAACAGTGCATTGGCTCAATTGACTTCCGTTACATCGAGGTTGCTTTCATACCCTTTTGGTAATTTTCTCTTTACTCTTAGTGATTTATATAAAGCACAACGTTGTGCTATTTTCGGATCTGATGTTTCCGGTCTGGAATTCCTAAGTTGTGTCTGATTGTTGATACGCTTTGTTATTTTTAGCGCATGAGAAAAACAACAACGGACATCTGCCTGTCTTCTGGTGGCTACTCGTTTCAGTGGGTCTCAATTAATGGGGCGAGCCGTTAGCCGCAAAACGGCAAAAAAACCTAGCCAATAGGCATAAAAATTGAACAATGTTAACCTTCAGTTGAAGAAAAAGTCAGTAACTATAAAAAATTTTGCTATGTATCTTATCGTGTGGGCAGATGTGGAAAAGAGAAGTCCTTGCTATCCAAGGGTCACTCAGCAAGGATTTACCAAGTTCTTTAAGTTTTTATATCCTTTCTGGTGTATCATAGAAGTTTTGTTAATGTAGTTAGCGTGTTATTTCGGCCATTGGTAAAAGTAATGAAGGCGGAAGGGAAACTATGACGAGAGACTGCAAGCGATAATACTTACAATGTAGGTGGAATCCACAAGGATTTTCTAAGGGCCAAAAATAGAACTAACATAAAATCAGAAAATGCTGATCATGCTTCGCTAGATTAAAAGCAGATGGTTCCAATTCCTATCATGCAAACGGAAGACGCATGAAGGAATGTGAAAGGAGCGTGAGCCGCGTGAGGGCCTAGGGCGAGAGCGAGCAAAAAAAGTGCGACAAAGCTGGAGGTGGGTAGTCTCTTCACAGACACAGGCGAACCAACCTACGGCAGTGTTGATATGTATGATATTACAGATAGCATGATATGACGAACTGTACAGCTGTTACGAAGTTAGCACAAAATAAAGGGAAAAAATAATTACGTATTTTGATCTGAAAATCTCAAGAAAGTGAAATGAAATGTAAATGCACAGTGTTTTTTTGTCTCTTCAAAGAGTTTAAGTCGTCTCCTTACTGAATTAGTTTCTTTAAAATACTATTGTAAAAGTGGTTATTGGAAACGATTCTCTCAGTACAAAAGCAAGTTCGTTGTTGCATAATTAATCAAAAAAACAAATATTGGAATATCACTTAATCTCTTAACTCCCAAGATCTTATTAGTAATTCTCCTTACTGTCTGGCAAACGATTCTCATTATGTTAGTTTAGAGAATTTGGTATCGGATCAATTAGTAATCCCATAATTGATATTTTTCTTCATTCTCATCACTTGCCCGTATAATAGTGTATTGATATTGTAAGGAGAAATTTTGTCTTGGTCACTCACGGAAGTTAAAGGGTTAAGAGCGATTGTCCGTAACTGTCGGACCAGGTCGGACAGGCAGGTTAATTGATTTGGCTCAAATTTTACTTTTAAGCTTGCTTAGGGTCTCCTTTTAAGAAATGGTTATTTTAAGATTGAAATTAATTTTGCGTGGAAAATTAAGGCTCAAAGCCATTTGAAGCCCCCATCAGACACGATAGCGAGGCTGACCAAGAGCAACTTTTCAATGCTTGAGCTTCCTTTGCTTTCTAATTTTTGTATCTTTTTATTATAAAACAAACCCACAACTCTTCCTCTGTGCTTTGAGTGGTAAATTTCGCAGAAAAATATAAAGGAAGGGGTTGAAACGCGCCATTCGATTTACTTAGTTTTAGGTGTTTTATGACCCCTAAAAAATACCGTAAGTTCAGAAACTTCTGGCACTGTTGATATGTCGAGTGAGAACAATTTGTTAGTTTCTGAAACAACCTTTGTCAAAGATTATTTGCTGCAGAAAATTTAGAACTGGACAATTTTAATGCGCTTCCACAATGCCCAGTAAAATATGATAAGGTTCTTGGACGCAGTCTCTCTAAGTTGACGTTGTCCGGAGCATTTCGGTTCAAAAACTCGCTTTCTTTCAAACTTTGTCCATGAACCTTTTATGGTCTAGGAGTTAACCGAATGAATGTTTTCCACATCAGCTGTCTTCTTTCTACATTATTTTTGACCAAAAAAAAGCTTTTCTCACTTTCGATGGAAATTGGTACCCTATGCACCATCATTGCAGAAGTACTCCACCCCAAGCAAGGTGCAGATCCCAGAAGGACGATGTGCGCCAGCCTCGAACCCTGAGACTTTTCGACTCTGCGCATTACGCACGCGTTGTGCTTCAGCACGCGATGACGTGGATACGCCTGCAATGCAGCTGACCACGCATGCTTAACGAAGCATCAAACAGATTCATCTCGAGGAGAGTGCTCCTGAGATTTATGCACATCTTGCGCACGCGCTGTGTTGAAACGTGCCATGAACATGAGCAAGGTGGTGTAGATGTGCCCACAATGCAGCCGGCCGCGCATGCTATAAGTAAAATTTTCTTCTTTTAATCGCGTGTAACCAAATTTTCTAGGTATCATCCCTGATTACCAGTTTTTGTTAGTAAGGAGCTACGGGCACGCTACGGGCTCCGCCAACAAATAGGCAAAATATTAATACAATTTTGGAGGTTGTATAGATTGAACTTTATTAATGTAATATAATTTATTTTAAAAAATTAGGTCTAAATCACTAATTCTATAAATTTCAACATTTACCTTCCTATTAAAAAAGGGGAAAAGCCAAAATAAGATGTCATGCGTAGAAATCGAGAATGAATAATCTAGTTACAATTCACGTGTACTTGTCATTCAAAACTTACTCGCATGACAGGCTCATAATTACATTTTATTTTTATAATTACATTTTATTTTGTCTAGCTACACATTGTTAGCCTTCTAAACAAAGTATGGCAATTACATCGTCTGTTTTAAAAGCAAGCAGCAAATGAATTTCATAGTCTCGCAATATGTTAGTTTGCCAAGTTGAAAGAACCTACAGTGTACGTTAATTTTAGTCTTTTTAATTTTTAATTGGATTCCTGAAAGGGAGCTAGGGTTACTTGACAGAATAAACAGCTTTCATTTAACTATTTTCTTGCTAAATCACCAGCTGGGTATAGATTATATTGTTGTAATAGACATTGCAAAAAGTTACTAAATACCTATTTCTAGCAACTTCCTCAAACTTCAGCACACTCAGCATTCTCTATATCTCCATTCTTACCTAACATTGGCTGACAAGGGAAACACTCTGGGTTATGGCTGTGTCTGGAGGAAGAGAACCACAGCCAATGTTTTTCCTTTGCAATATACAATGATAGAGAGACTACAACCATGATAATAAGAAAAGCACAAGCCATGCCTATGGCAATCTTCGTGACATCTTGTGATGTTGTTGTCAACACTAATTAAAACAAATGGAAAATAAAATGAGTAATTTGCATTACACATGTCAAAAAAATATATATATATTTATGAAATTCAAATCATAGATACCATTAGGGTTCAAAGGGCCAAACAAAAACACATAAGCACAAGCAGTGGTTACAGTTTCATTTTCTTTTATCTGAATAGTTGAAGAACTAGGTTGCAGACCGTTTCTCGAAACAGATTCACAAAAGCAAGTAGGGCAAAATGCTCTCTCTAACTTTGATTTACACATCCACGCCGTACCTTTACTTGTAATACTTGGATCTTCTCCTGGACAGTCAGCTTCATATACATTTGGTCGTATACCACTTGGATTCTTTGATGAGTTAGTAAAGAAAGGACATGATTTACAGGCCTGTTCAGATGTCTGGCCAATGTTTTGGCTGGTATGTTCCTTGAGGACATGGAATGCCACTAGCCATTCCTGGAGGGCAGTAAAAACCAACTGGACACACTATACAGTCTAGCTCAGATGTCTGCTTAATGTTTGGCTGGTATGTTCCTATTGGACATTGAATGAGACTAGTTGCCCCTAAAGGGCAATAAAAACCAGCTGGACATGGTTTACAGGCCTGTTCAGATGTCTGGCTAATGTTTGGCTGGTATGTTCCCTGAGGGCATGGAATGCGATCACGTCTTCCTGGAGGGCAATAAAAACCCGCTGGACATGGTCCTGCAATACAATTCAAAACAAAATTTACCTATAGCTTGTATGTCTGTTTTCCCAATGTATACATAGTTTAAAAAAGGTAAAGGAGGGAATTTCCTTGAGCTTTCCATTGAGAAAATAAAACAAATATACAATTAAGCTAAAAAGGTATATCTATATGGCTCTGAGCTAAACCTTGTATCGATTCACCATTTGGTGGCCAGAAAAAAACAGTTCATTAGTCCTTGGAAATAAAATATTCACAGAAAGAAAAGTGTACTTGAGAATTCAAGGAGAAGGAAATAAATTCATATAGGGCAACACTGAGAATGTTTTCCTCAATTGACCCTGGAGCATAAACATGAAGTAATAAAAAATCACAACTTCCTTCATATTATCCAAACACAGGTTCCCAAACTGGCACCTCTCACAGACTGCAAAATCAGTAGCCAAAATTTTTTCTTCCTGCCATGATGACCAAAATGATTTCTGCAGTAGAAATCTTGAGCTTGCATATTTTGTTTACCAAGTCTCAAGAGAATTTCCAGCTTTACTGTTTGTAAATTATGCGTACAGTACATACATGCATACAAATATGCATATAAATGAGAGGAAAGTTGAAAGAAACATCAGTTCTCCAGTAAAATAATATTATCACATGACCTAAAATGAGTAAACAAAACATAAAAGCTAAAGACATCTCCTGGAGGGCTGGTTTGTGAAACCCAAAGAGTAAACTTCAAATGACAAAGGAAAATTTGATCTTTTGTGCATGCATGGATCATAAATATCATAAAATTTTGTAATGCAGCTGGAAGACACCAATAATAAATCAACTCCCAAGATTTACAAATCAGTTCTCCGCGTTGAACCCAATAAGTTTATAATATTTTCAGTTCTGAGAATCTAGGCATGAGACAATAAAGTATAACCTGGTGAATATTCCTCTTTCTTCTCATTTCATTTCTTCTTGAAATTGTATTGATTCAGTGAGAAGAAATTCCTATTTTGGTCACTTCTGAGATTGACAGGGTCAAGCCTAGTTGTGCCAAAGAGGTCTCCTGGATCCAAACATCAATTCTCTACACTGTCTATAAATAACTTTTTTTTTTTATAAATTAAGGTCTTCTGAGATACTTGTTTTAAGTTTAGATGTTTCATTTTTGTCATCACCTTTCTGCTTGAAAAATTATGGATTAGTGTTGGAAGAAACTACTTACTATTCACACCTGGGAGTGAAAAGATTAAATTAAGGGAAAAATCCCTAAACAATTAATTGTAAAAACTGTGATATTGCTTCATTGTCCTATGGGAGCTCAGTTGGGAGGAATTTTCAGAGCTGGAAAACAACCCCCCTTGAAAATACACATTTTTAGTTTCAACAGTGTCTAACCCAACTCTACTCCCTTTCAACTCAGCCCAATATTCTGTTGAGGGCTTTTCAATTCTTCTCTAGTTAATGAAAACAGCTACATTTATTTCCAAATCATGAAAACAGTGAAATTCCCTAACAGATTTCCTGATCAAATCCACACAAACAGATGTTTTAGATTTACAATGTATAAAAGTCAGGAATGAGAAATAGTCATCACAAGTATGAATGAGTCAATCTTATCTTATAAGACCATTAACTTCAGGCATGACCAAAATGAATACTAACACACTTACGAAAACAGCTGATTAGAACATATAATTAATGTTAATAGCAACACATTAAGTAGAGGATACTATTTTGCAATCATGTATTTCTGAAGGGAAGCAGAATAAGATTGAGGGTTCATAAAAACTAGCAGGTGATACATCACCACACAGAGTAGATGGTACTGTGTAAAAAAAACCTCAATAAATGCAAGAAAGAGTCATTTACCATACCAACTTCAAGAAGAAATGTTTTTGTTGATTTCAGTCCATATTTGGAAGCTTTACATGTGTAGTTTCCTGCATCTTCCATGGTGACATTCTTAATTTCCAGATGGAAAACATAGTTGGGAGGTGTAACTATTACTCTTGGCTTGAAATATTCATACTTCTGTAGTTCATCATCCTCCATTACCATTATGTCATTCTTCAAGAAATAGCCAATTACACCATCAAAGCCTTGGATTTTACAAGTTATGTTGACTGTGGTTCCAATGTAAGCTGTGTCCAAACCATCAAGTTTTGCATACTCTATAACTGGGCCTCTTGGTACTAAAATTAAAATAGACAACTTTGTAAGAATCAAATGTTACTCAAACCTTTTCCTCGTATTCAAGGCCAAGTCAATGTATTCAATGATAATAGATTTCATTGTATTTAATCCTGCAGTTCCAGTCCATCAGTACCAACAACAAAATGTTTTGTAAGCAAATTTGATGACTTTTTTCAAGCAATTTTAGTTTTTCACTCTTCTACATTCATAGCTCCTTAAGATTGAATTAAAACCTATAGCCTGTACAGTAAGGTCAATGCAGTAAGGTTTGTACAAAAATTCCATTCTCAAATTAAACCAATGGCTGCGAATGTTTCAACCAACAGTTAAATGCAATTTACCAAAATTTGGTTGTCTCACAAAAATTTTACTCAATCCATGTGGCAAAATAATAGGGATTTCAAAGCCTATACCCCAGTACTTAATGCAGCAGTAAAAATATATCACGACAAAAACATATCAAATCTGCATCAATCTACTTTCAAAATTTTTATTTATGTCTGTACCTTTTTCAGGTCCTAAAAACAACTTTGCTAATATCTTTACTTTTTCACAAATTCCATTATCCAGCTGAATGCATAGATGACATTGTAACTCATTTAATGTCTTGAGAAATACAATACATGGCCACAGCCCTGCCACAATAATTACCCTATTTACGGAAAGGTCTGCCAAACTTCTCTGATGTTTTTTTAACTCAAACTCTATTATCATCCATCTCCAACTGTTCTTTGCTTTCTCGGGCGAAGAAGAGCTCAAATCTTATGTTTGGCCAAATCTCACATTTGTTCAAATTCTGTGTTGAAGTGTGCTAATGAGGAGCATCAATTTAAAATTTATTAGTTTGCTTTTAACATGTGTCAGTCTTATGAGATCATTTCATATGATTGAAGACAACAGTTTTCTAAACCAGTCTGACACACAATAGAGAGATAACTCTAAATATAGCACTTGAGCCTGCTCAGTCTGCACCATTTATTTAAGGATAATAGTTTTTCCCTTCAATTTAGGGCAAGCTGGCAGCTACAGGCATGTGTTATACTTGGGTCTTAGTGGTGAGGGGGGAAAACCTTGCTCTAAAGATTACACTACAGACCTCAGGCATGGTTACCTACCCTTCACGGACAACTTAGCTGTAGCTGAATAACTTTTCCCCTTCTCATTTGTCACAACACATGTGTAGTTTCCTTCGTCTTCTTTTGAAATCATTTTGACCTCTACACTTCGATTGCAGGATCTAAATGTGTATTTCTCTTTTTTTCCATCCAGAGAAATAGGTTTGCCATCAATCAGCCAAGTTACATTTGCTGAAAAATTTGAATAGACCTTGCATTCAAATGTGTAGCTGTCATCCACACCTCTTGTTATGGTAGATCCAGAGGTCATAATTATATAGGGGTCTGCATCATCTGAGGGGTGAGGGGATCCTGGAATGATTCCATTATTACAATTTCCTGTGCCACGTCTGTGCCTTTTTGATGAAAAGTACACTAAATAAGAAGACAATCAATCAATTAATCATTATAATTAGTTTGTGAATTGGATATTTTGCAAATAACTGAATGGTTTAATGTTATTTCAAACTAAAAAAGAGTTGGTTCTGATAATGTATGAAGTTAATAACCACAGGTTACCCTGACTTTGCTTGAATATCCACAATTAATGACACAATTCAAAAGCCTAGGTTGCTCAATAAACCCATCTTTGTAATACTGAATATAACTGTTGCAATTACTCTTTACATACAACATACCCTATCTAAAATAATGAATTTCAATAATACCCTTTAAAAGATTTGTTATATCACTTTTTACTGATTGGACATGCACATGACCAAGATTGTTACAAAACACACAAGGTAGCAGTTTGACATTCACACTTGTCATTTCAGTGGAGCTAGTGTTTGCTATCGCAATTTCCGGTCGTTTACCCGCGGGTAATCTGTTGATTTTGCATTAAACGCGCGCCACTGCGGGTAATAGGGAGGTGCGGGTTATGTGACAATTTTAAAATCCAGTGGTAGTTGAATTGAAAAAAAATATCACCAACATGCGTTTCCACCTCTCAAGTAAATTTTATTGTGTTAATAGTGCCGTAAAGCGGCACGAAAACATGATGCCGACTCGAGTTTATTTCACGCATAATTAGTTGCGCGACGAACAAATTATTATCGGCACGCGTGAAAACAAAACCTTGATGGTGACAAAAATTATCCATAGATATCCGGCGCATAAGTAACAAATTTCCATTTAACACTAGCTTGAGCTAAAGAGAATTTTCCCGTTTTAAGGGACTTGTTAGGCCCAATAGAACCGGAGATATCGATTTTTTCAGAAATCGCCAGTACTTTATAATTCAAGTTTTAATACTCACCCAGCTTGTTTTCAACAAATCGACATGGCGCTGAACGATCGCTCGCACAAAATGTGGCCACAAATTCGCATTCTGTCAAGTATGAAATGTTGAGATTTGGGCATGGGCCGCTAGTATTTTTACTGTATAATCTTATCAATAAAGTACATGCTAATATTGACACAGAATTGTGCACGCGTCTGAATTTCTTTGACCTTTAAACTCGACAAAGACGCTTTCAAGTTTTCGAAAGTTGGATCAGACAACTTTTAAAAGACTGAAATGTATCACCTTAATGTCACGTTTTCGCCACCAAAAAGTTGAATAACAACGTGCGGGTTATCCACCAGTGCGGGTAATCTGTTGACTTTTTTTTTCGCCGTATGCAATAATCGGCCGGTGCGGGTAATCGGCCGTGCGGGTAAACGACCGGAAATTAATTATTGAGCAAATTCTCCTTGTCAAGGATGTGCTCGTTTTTACAATAAATAGATTGGGTCGCTCAACAGACCTAATTCTGGCATTTGCATTGTACATGAGGTAAATAAGAATAATGAATGCCTCTCCACTTTCATTTATGATTTTGAAATGTTTAACATTTCACTATGTGAAGACCTGGTTATAGTCGTGAATCACAATAACAATCCAAAGAGGGTGTGACAAGCACCAATACTGTAAGTCAGAAATCCTGTTTGCAAATTGTGCCAGCAAATTCACAACAATGAATATACGAATAAATATGCGAATAAAAATTTTGCAGGTATGTAAATGAAACTTCTATACAAAGAACTCCCATGATCTAATTGAAGATTCGCCCCTCTAGCAGCTACATATCTACTTGTAACTTAGTAACAAGAATTTAATGTTAGATCAGGATTACAAAGACCCTGAATTATCAATAAACTTTTAAAGCTGATTGTGCTAAGCATAAACTTCACATAAAATACAGTATTGTATGGTATCTCATAACCTGTTTACAGGGTAATGTATGAATATTGTGGGGAGAAGTTACATGTTGAACACTTCTTGGAGTTACAGGGTTACAAAAGGCCTTGAATCTGATAGGGATGAGGCAATTTACCTTATCTCCATTATCATCATTCATCTTTTTTTTACTGCAATTCCTTAAGCGCTACTTTCTTGCGAAGGCTTTGAAGTGACATCAAATCAATTATAAATCTCAGAACTATAATTTGAAAGCGGAAGTTTCGAGGTGAAATCAAAAACTTCTCGATAGGACCAAAGGAAGGCGTAAAATGACAGTCCTTAAGATCTTCGCCTCACTACTACAATGAAATGGTAACCCTCCTCCTCCATCACTAACTTTTCCAATTTCACAACTAATTGGGCAATAGAGTCCACTAGATGGCTAAACAAATTTCTCACAAGAGATCTCCACAAAGTTAAGCTTAACAAGCTTACGCTTATTTCTCCATAATTTTAACATAAACCTTAAATTGCTCTGAAATTGCAACAAGCTCACCTTTTCCACACTCCTCTGAGTAAAAAGCTTTCCCTGGGCAACGTTTTGGATCGTTTTGATGACTACACGTTACCACAAGCACATGGCCACTCACTCCTCGCCTGTCCTTGCAAGGACAAAATACCGTTTGGTTACGGCATTGCGATCTCTGTTCCTGTTGTTCCGATAAAGCAGAGGTAAATTCCACTCCGCAAAATAAAAAAAATAGTAGAAGTTCCTTCGCAAACATAGATCGGTTCATTTGTCTAGAGTTCCTTCGCAAACATAGATCCCGGTTCATTTGTCTTTTAGATGAAACCTGCGTCTTCGTAGAGGCAGAGATTCCAACCTCCCGATGTGATCTCTCCCGATTTGATGTCTTGCCTCCCGCTCTCCCGATTTTTACAAACCTACTTTATCATAAAATTCCCTAGGGAAAATTGCTAATCTTTAGGGCCTGTCACTGTGAAACACCCATTTCTTACTTTCTTCGAAATGGTTTTAGATGAAAAATTCCTGCCTAAATTTGCTTCGTAGAGGATTTTCTCTCTGTCAACAATTCCAAAATACAGTTTCCTCTTTGGGATCTGAAGGAAAAAATGCTTTCGACAGTGATCGCGGAAATGAAAAAGAAGGGCCTGGAACCAAAGTACACACCAGGGCCCAAAGGCCGATTAGCAAAGGGTTAAATTTTAATCTGCGTTTCTTTATTCTTTAGCAAAAGCCTTTTTGGGAAAATTTTCAATGAAAAAGAATTCTTCAATTTTCTTGAAAGCCTTTAACCAAAGTTCACACCGGGACGATAAAAACAAAATTTCGCCTGCTTCTCCGCTCTTTGAAAGAGATCAGCAATAGGACTTGTGTGATGAGCGACACAAACACAGAACTGACGAGAAATCGAAGAAGTAAGACAATAAAATAAATGTCTTAAGCGGGACCGGAAATCTGTCTACTCTCCCAAGGATGGACCAGAGGGTGTGTATGTGTGATTTGTGTATGCAGATTTAGGCTTATTTAGCAAGACAACGGAACCTCACTTGACGACGGCACGCGCAGTGCAAATACCCAAATATGGTCAAATTAAGACAGAATCCAGACTATTCTGCTCGCTCTCCCGTCGTCATCTGACGTTCCCGTCCTGTTGCTAAATCAGCCTATCTTCTTCTGAGGACTTCCTGTAATACTAAAGGGGTTTCTGAAGCATGATATTTGTCGAGGTGTCTGCTTTTAAGAGGTCTTAAGGACCTGACAGCAACATTAAAATATTTATTTCTTGATAAGATTTCTTTTCAAACGATGGGAATGCCGCCCCCGTGAGCTTGCAAAACCAACATAGTAGCTGAAAATAACGGATGCGATGCTGCCTTTATTACCATTCGAAACTACTGCTCAATATTTTTGTCTCCTGTTTTATTCGCATTTAATTTTCTTCATAAGCAGAATCGGAAATGGTCGAAAAAATATGACATGGAAACATCTGTGTTTGTTTTTTTTTTTAGATCAGCCTCTCTTGCTTTCGACCGCCGATTATTTTGCTGTCCTCCGATAAAAGTTACGCTTGAAAGCAGGCTGAAATTACCCGAAAGTCCCTCCTTCTTACTCACGTGGGAGAGAACCGCAAATTGTCCAATATATAGTCTCGTCGTCAAAACAGGGTCTGATTTACAAGATGATAAATAACGGTAATAGGACCGCGTGGAGTTCAATTCGGTCTGTAATCATACGAGCGATTTTATCCAGTAGTGTCAGCTAGCTGACCTTACGCCCAAGCAATATCGCGTAACGATTGTTTAAAATGTGAAGCTCACTTCCGTCGAGTTCAGCTACGAGTTCCCGTCACTGTACACTTTCTCACAGTCTTCTCACGAGAGAAGAACTTCTCAGAGGATACCTTGTATTGAAAAGAAAATTGGAAAATTTGATGACTTTAACGGCTGTATAGCCATCTCTTGACGAAAACAACTTTTTGATAGTTTACTGTATGGTGATTCAGTATTGCGAGCAGGACAGAGAGTTATCTGGTGGATAACGCTTTCAAGCCTTCGAACAACCGAAGGCAGGTATTTCTATCCCATCGATATCTTCCAAAATATTTAAGTTGGAATGTAAGTGTCGGATATTTTGTTTCTTCCCGAAAAGAGCATACATTCCGTTGACTTCTAGTTTGAAATATTGATAACTTGAAAATTCCGTCAGATCTAATAATATTCAGACCCTTCGGGTCATTTTTTCAGTTCAACTCTATCCTCTGTAATGAATTACTAATTAAAAGCATAGTGTTGTCATATTTTCAGATCTACTGTTTCTTAGCCAGGAACGCGGAACTTGTTTCTGATTATCACTTCTCTACCTTTTGGGAAAAAAAAACCGTTGCCGAAGGGAACAGGTAAGTTCGGACGACCACCACAAATCGTATAAAAAATTTGAATCCTCTTTATTGTTCTGGATACTTGATTCAGACCTTGATTTAAATCGCAGTTGTACAGCTTGATTATTCGATCAAGGAAAGTCAAAGGACGGTTGATTCGAACAGATGTGGTATTTTGTGACCTTGAATCCATGCAGAAAAAGGATGCTATAAATTAGCATTATCAAAGCAACTTCCGTGACGGTGTCACAGCGGATTTGGACCCCCCTTCGCAGATTTGGAGCCCCCTACCAAACTTTCCTTTTAAGCATCCTTTGTGTCATATTTGGTAACTTATTCTATTTGCAAGCTTTTTTGTCGATGTTATTTTCAATCAAAGAATTAGATGTGAACAAACTACTGCATTCGAACTATTGAAATTGTTACAATAAATCTTTGCTTCTTCTGATGCGAATCAACATTAGTACGAAACGTCATAACAATAGTGGAGACTATTGCGTCCAGTCACTGAAATAACTCAGTCTCATTTTCTAAAATCATAACATTGAACAGTTTTTGAACAAGAACGAAGAAACTAGTCGTATTACAAGTCGTTCGTAAAGCCTGTGATAAGTTAAAATGTTTCTATTCTGAACTATTGGAACTCTCAGCTTATTTTCAGATGCAAATCAACATTAATGTCAACGTCTTAACAAAAGTGGAGACTATTACATCGAACTCAATCTTATTTTCTAATTTTAACGATTATTAACTGTTGAGGGATCCTAAATAACACCTTAACAATTACGAAGACGTCTAGAGCCTGTCAATCTGCAGACAATGCAGAGTCACTCGTCCTCCGGGGCAGTCTTAAATCCCTCGCAGCTCATGTGTAACCTTTCCTCGCACAACTCGCACTGTACCATGTCGTCCCAACACTCAGGCATTGAACAATGACAAAATAAATTAGTGTCACAAGTTTGTCTCTCATTGAAAACGACCTCTCTCCAGACATTAAACTAAATTCTTGCCCATTTTCCCTTGGTCAAAAGAAACATCCGACGGGATGCCAGTTCGTATGCATTAACGATACGCATGTTTTGAATTAAAAACATACTTTAGTACGCATTGGAACGAAAAGTATCATCCATTTTTACTAGAACGTTAAGGATGATGTGTTCACTCAGTTTTGTTGGGGGGTCCAAATCCGCGGTGGGGGGGCCATATCCGCTAGCGGATTTGGACCGGGAGGTCCAAATCTAGGGGGGTCCAAATCCGCTGGGAAAACGAATCGTATCGTAATTCGCAGACTTACAGCTCAGGTATGTCTAATTTGTATTATCTTCTTCTGAGGACTTCCTGTGATACTAAACTGGTTGGAATACAAAACGTTCGCGGTTCAAATCATTTTGGAATCAAATATCAATCATACTGAAAGGAAATCGTTGGTTTTAAAAACGATGACGGCGATTTTATTAATAAACGAAACAAAAACGAAAACCGGAAATCTGTCTGTGCTCGCGGGCTTCAAATTCATCCAATTTCTTACCGTTACAGTACAGATAACAACCTATTTATATCACATCTATGATAATATCTAAGTTGAGATTAGGTGTCGGCCGTTTTTATTTTCCCAGAACAGAGCATTGACTCAGTTGATTTCTGGTAAAGAAACTCCGATAATTCGAAACTTTCTTTAAATCGAGGTTCCTTTCATACCCTTCTGGTACTTTTCTATTTACCCTCAGTGATTTATAATTAAAGCACAACGTTGTGCTATTTTCAGATCTGCTGTTTCTGGTCTGGAATTCCTAAGTTGTTTCCGATTGTTGATACGCTTTGTTATTTTTAGGGTGAGAGAAAAACAACAACGGACATCTGCCTGTGTTCTGGTGGCTACTCGTTTCAGAGGGTCTCAATTAATGGGGGAACCGTTAGCCGCAAAACGGCAAAAAAAAAACCCAGCCGATCGGCATTAAAATTGAAAAATGTTAACCTTCAGTTGAAGAAAAAGTCAGAGACCATAAAAAATTTTGCTGTGTCTTGTCGTTTGGGCAGATGCGGAAAAGAGAAAATTACGACGTTTTCGCGCCCAGTCTAATCGTAATGACATAAGTCCTTGCTTTCCAAGGGTCACTCAGCAAAGATTTACCAAGTTCTTTAAGTTTTTTTTTATCCTTTCTGGTGTATCATAGAATTTTGTTAATGTAATTAGCGTGTTATTTCGGCCATTGGTAAAAGTAATGAGGGCTGGAAGGGAAACTATGACGAGAGACTGCAAGCGAAAATGCTATGACGAGGAATCTGCAAGCGAAAAAATAGAACTAACTTAAAATCAGTGTGTTGTCATGGAATCCAAAAGGTGGTTCCGATTCCTTCCATGCAAACGGAAGAAGCCATGAAGGGCTGCTAGGGCCTGGGCGAGAGCGAGCAAAAACAGTGCGACAAGGCACAAAATAAAGGGAAAAAATAATCACGTATCTTGATCTGAAAATCTCTAGAAAGTGAAATGAAATGTAAATGCACAGTGTTTATTTTTGTCTCTCAAAAGAGTTTGAGTCGCCTTTTTACTGAATTAGTTGTAAAAAATCGTTATTAGAAACGATTCTCTCAGTACAAAAGCAAGTTCTTTGATGCATAATTAATTAAGAAAACTAACAGTGGAATATCACCTAATCTTTTAACTCCCAAGATCTCATTAGTAATCCTCCTTACTGTCTGGCAAACGATTCTCATTATGTTAGTTTTAAGAATTTGGTATTGGATCAATTAGTAATCCCATGATTGATATTTTTCTTCATTCTCATCACTTAATAGTGTATTGATATTGTAAGGAGAAATTTTGTCTTGGTCACTCATAAAGGTTGAAGGGTTAAGAGCGATTGTCCGAAACTGTCGGACTGGGTCGGACAGGCAGGTTAACT